GCGGAGGCGCTGACGTGAGCCAATCAGGAGGGCCTCGGTTTTTCGCACGTTGAGCTGAAGAAAGTTGTCTCTCGTCCAGGACTCGATGTCGGACAGGCAGCTGTCAGGACATCGGTGGTCGTGGAGTTGAGAGTAGAGGAGGAAAGGTAGAGTTGGGTGTCATCCGCATACATGTGGAAGTTAACTCCATGTCTGCGGATGATGTCACCAAGGGGGAGCATATAGAGGGTGAAGAGGAGGGGACCGAGGACAGAGCCCTGAGGGACACCACATGAGACAGTACGGGGGGTGGAGGAGAAGCCATTCGTCGAGACAAAGTGAAGATGGTGAGAAAGGTACGACCTAAACCACTCAAGGACAGTGCCTTGAAGGTTGAGGTGGAAGGACAAGCGGTGGAGTAGGATAGCGTGGTCGACCGTATCGAATGCTGCCGATAGGTCGAGGAGGACGAGGAGACAGAGGGAGCCCATATATCAAATGCAAAGATTATTATTATTAAGATTGTTATTTCTCTGGGATTAGATAACCAGGTAGACAATGTACATTCCTTTCCAGATACCAAGATATTTCTCAGTGGGATTCTCAGTATTGTTTGACTACTATTAAGCACGGTGATGGGTTTCCGCATGTGTCGGACACCTGTCCAACCAAAAACAATTAACAAAATAAATTAATAAAATTTCCAGGCAGGGCAAAACCTTGGGCAAGTTTCCTTACTCCACACAGAGCCTAATAATAATCCCTCCAAAAACCAAAAACAATAATAAATTGGTCATTTTCAATCTACAACTGTTTGTGGGACATTGCTGTGCGCAATTGGCTACAGCGTTTGCCCACAAATATATAGTCAATTCACTTTACAGTGTGTTCTGTGAAGCGCTTTGGGAGGTCCTCCCGATGTGAAAAGCGCTATATCAAATGCAAGGATTATTATTATTATTATTACTTTATAAACTCTAGTGACAAGTGCTGTATTTCAAAAATTAAAAGAATAGGTTAATTCTTTTTCCCCCTTTGTCAGCAAAGGTTCTTTTCTGTCCTTCTTTCAGCACCATCCTGAACTAATTAGGAGCAGGAAAAACAACCAGTTTCCCTTCTCTTTCGCCTCCTTCAACCAAAGCTCAATGGACTCGTCACAAAAATAACTATTTTGAGAAGTGCAGTTACAGTCTAGGCAATCTGATCTCCAGATTTAAGTGCCTCAAAGTCTCATGCTGATTTGAACTACTGTATTAAAAAAAAATTCTCGACTGTCTGGAATGACTGTTTCCCCCATTAAAGAAAATTGGTCATTCACTCGACGTGAAAGGCGTTATATAAATATCATGTGTATGTTTTATGTGAGACATTGCTGTGCACAACTGGCTGCTGTGTTTCGCCCACAAAATACACAGTCAATCCACTTCACAGTATATCCTGTAAAGCACTTGGAGACATCTCAATGATGTGATAAGGCGCTCTATCAAATGCAAGGTATATTATTAGTAGTACTTTCAGTATTTTTTTAAAAAAATGGGGAGGAAAAAGGATAGAAATTCAAAAATTGAGCCAGGAATCATTGTAGCTGGTGTATTCTGCAATACTTTAAGGATGCTGTCCTGAATAAATAATCTGGGTTCCTCTCTCCCTCCCTTATTCACCCCGACTCCCCCCCACGACTACAAAAACAAAGAAAATGTTTGCTGTTTAAAGAGGCAGACTGTACTAAAATCATGACTTAGCAGCATGCTAGAGAGTTGATGTGGAAGGTTTGTTTAAGAAAAGTGCTTTGTCTGCATTTCGTCCGAGAGAAATGCGCTTGTGTTTTTTCTAATAAAGGAACTGCTACAAAGCGTTTTGCTTCCAACCTTTGTCCTCTTCTCAAAACTCTGATCCAGTCACAAGGTCAGCTTCCAATGCTTCAGATTCACAGACCTTCTTAATTGGAATAACAAGGACTAGATATCAGTAAGATTGTCCAATGCTTTCTGAAAAGTGCCTGCAATTCAAACGTTGCCGAAAACACATGCAATCCTTGAAACCATAAACCATAAATACTGGGGTAAGAACGTATTAAGTCCTCTATGTATTTGCTTTTAGACAATAGCCAGTCTGTGTTACTGATGTTTTACAGCTGCTAGCTTTATGATCCATTTAGAATGGTTGATCTTTCATTTAAACTTGGCTCCTCCTGTACACCTGTCAATTTATTTTTCCTCCTCTCCTCAAGGTTTTATATTTGTTTTTCTTTGTTGTGCTGGAAAAACTTTGTTTTTCTCCCCCTCATAATGAGATATAATTGCACAGATGTTAAATACTCCTTCTTCATAGACCCTACACACAGAAGGAGGCCATTCAGCCCATTGTGCTTCTACCATCTCTTTGAAAGAGCTATCCAATTAGTCCCACTCCCCTGCTCTTTCCTCATAGCCTTGCAAATATTTTCTTTGCTCCTCCAGTATTGCATTGAAATATCAGCCTCAACTTTGTGAGTTCCAAGTCTCAATGTGGGACTTGAATACAGAAACCAGGGTGGATCAGGAGTGAGAGTGCTACCAATAGAGCCAAGCTGATATTAAGAGCATAGTAAAAGCACACAACAATTTGGCCCACTGCTCTGCCAAAGAGATGCCAAGTTTCTTGGGGGCCAGCAAGGGTCTTCCAAAGAGATCTTGATAGGCTATCAACATGGGCTGATAAATGCCAAAAGAAGTTCAATGCCGAGAAATGCAAGATACTACATTGAAGAAACAAATGTACTCCGTTGGATGGAATACTTGCCAAAGAGATCTTGGGGTATTATTGCTATTCATTGATCACTATGTTGAAACAGGGTGAGGCAGTAATATAATAATAATAATCCTTGCATTTGATATAATGCTTTTTAACGTCTTCTAGACATCTCAAAGCGCTTCACAGAATAGACGGTAAAGTGAATTGACTGTGGGCGAAACGCGGCAACCAATTGCGCACAGCAGTGTCCCACAAATAGTCGTGGATTGAAGTGACCAATTTTTTTTTGAAGGATTATTATCAGGTGTGTGGAGTAGGAAAACTCGCCCAAGTTTTTGCCCTGCCGGGAATCGAACCCAGGTCTCTCGCTCGCGAGGTGAGTACTCCAACCACTGAGCTACAGGACTCCTGTACTCAGTATTACTCCAGTAATAAATAAGGCAAATAGATGCTGTGATAAATTGCCAAAGCAATTGAGTTCAAAGGGAAAAGACACTCTATAAATGTATATTGTATAATTGTGTAATGGACCTGCCTTTCCCCCATATCCCTGTAAATTAATCCTCTTTAGATATCTATCTCATTCTCTTTCAAAACCTAATATGGATCCTGCCTTGAGCACCACACCAGGCATAGTATTCCACATCCTAACAACTGTCAGCATATGTGAAAAAATATTCTCTTTTTCTCCCCGTTTGCTACCTTGCTAATTATCTTAAATTGATGCCCTCTAGTCACTGATCATTGGGAATAAATTGTCCCTCTGCCTATCAAAATCCCTCATAATTTTAAAGATTGCTATCAGATCTTCCCCTCAACCTTCTCTGTTCCAATGAAAATAGACTCAGTTCCTCAAGTCTCTTTGCATAGGTAAAACCATTCATCTCTAGTATCATCTTAGGGTTCTCCTCTGCACCCTCTCTTTAACCCTGACATTGTTTCTATCTCTAACTGACTATTTATAGAGATTAAGTGTAACCGATTTGGCTTTGTATTATATGCCCTAAAAACTCACACTCAGTCACCCATTTCCCTCAAATAAATAGACCTTTAAACAGAACCATGTTATATGAAAGTTTCTAATAAGTACAAGATCTGCAAGACTGGAGTCATCATACCTGTTAAATTCCAGCTGGTCCTTATTCACATCAATTAGTTTCAATAAGCTTTGAGTGACCCAAACTAGATAGAGAAAGGCTGTCCTTAGTTGAATGTAGAATGGTTATTGTAAGATGTGAAAGAGCTCTTAAGCATTCAGATGGTATTTTGCCTCTGTAGCAACAATTCAACAGGTTAGTTTTCTCCATGAGCAGATCTGTTGTTAAATATCTTTTGGCTCAGATAAAATAAGACGCTTTCTTAATGCTTTTAGTTTTCTTCAATAAAATTCAAGTGTATGTTCTTTTGCCTTACATTTTTTGGGTGAGTGTTCAGTCACTGTTTGCTCGAGTGTGTCCATGTAAGTGCTCTGTTATCTCATTGAGCAGCTGAGGTTTCCTTCAGACCTCTGGCACATTGTAACAGATCTTTGCTACCCTCTTTCTCTCCCAAACTCCCCATCAGTTAGTCTGACATCAGGGCTGAAATTCCAGACTGATGTGAGTCCGGTGTGATTTAGGGAACCAACTATAAGAGAGCCCTTGGAATCATGAAATACTTCAAACTGTTTTATTGAAAAGAAGTCTAACAGAGAGATCAGGCACTGGAGGATATTTTCAGAGCTACTGGGAGGAAAGAGTAATGGGTGCAAGATGATCCAATCTGACAGAATAGTGTTGTCTCCCAGATGTGTTTAGTGTGGGGTCTAGAGGTTTACAATTTTCTCTCTCCCAGCTTCTCTGTGTGTTGTATTTTATCAATGTTAAGCATTCCTAAGAGCACTATACAAATGCAAGTTGTTGGGTGGACTTATATTTTATAAAGGGTTTTAATGCATTTTGTATTTTGTTTATTTAAATTTAAAAATTTGTTTTAAAACTGAAATGAATTTAATTACTCTAAACACTTGCTCTATTGTAGCAATGCAGTAATCCCAAACATGTTTACAAGTGTATATATATATATATACACACATTTATAATATATATTAAAAAGCCTTCATCACTGTTTTCGCTATTTTGTTTTAGTGGGAAAAATAAATCTTGCATGATGTTTTTATCGCATTCTGTATGATTTCCCATTCTTCGCTTCATCCAGTTTGTTAACTGTTATTGTGTATATGTCTGTTTTTTTAAATCTACGATCAAGGTCTCAAGTATAAAAGCACAAAAGTGGGGATCACAGTCTCCAACATGTCAGCTATCACATACAACCCGACGTTAGACTTTAACCTTAGTGGGTAAGTAAATTCTAACCTGCTGATCAATTGTAATGAACAGTAGAACCAGCAGACATGACCTGCGATTGAAGGGGGTTAAATTCAGAACAAATCTGCAGAAAGGCTACTTCAGTGAGCCAATAGTGAACGAATGGAACAGGCTCCCTAGGGAGATGGAAGAAACAGAAAGTGTTGATCCTTTCAAAAACAAATTAGATAGATTTCTGTTAGAAAATAATATCTGGGGCTACAATATATAGTTTGGGGCACAATGTGCCAAGCGACTGCAAGGATGACGAACTGGAAGGACTTTGGTCTTCTTTCACCCAGCAAATCCAGGCAGGGCGAAACCTTGGGCAAGTTTCCTTACTCCACACGATAATAATCCCTCCAAAACAATAATAATTGGTCATTTTCAATCCACAACTGTTTGTGGGACACTGCTGTGCGCGATTGGCTGCCGCGTTTTGCCCACAAATATACGGTCAATTCACTTTACAGCATATTCTGTGAAGTGCTTAAGACGTTTAGAAGACATGAAAAGCGCTCTATCAAATGCAAGGATTATTATTATTTCTATGTTCTTATGATAGCTGCAGTATTAGGATCATGAAACCACAAAAGGCCATTCAAGTTCCCTTTGATGGCCTATTCCACGAGTTTATTTGACTGTGGCAAATCTTTCCCTTCCACTTCTTTGTCTTTTTGGCCACAAAACTCACACAATCACTGCACTTTACATCCCTTCAAAATTCCTTTTTTTTAAAATAAACACTCAATCCCCGACTACTTATGGGATACTGCTGTGCACAATTGGCTACCGCATTTTGCCCACAAAATATACAGTCAATTCACTTTACAATATATTCTGTAAAGCGCTTTGAGACGTCTCAATGACGTGATAAAGCACTACAGCAAATGCAAGGATGAATATTATTATTTATGGGACATCCTCCCAACACGAAAGGTTCTATACCAAATGTAAGGATTACTTTTTTCAATTTGCTTTGTATTCCTTACTTCCAAAATATTTATCTCCTTTTCAAACATTTCACTATTTCTATGGCCTTTCTAGGCAATTCATCCCCAACTCGCTTGTGTGAAAAAATGCCCTTTTCTGAACTTTTCCCACTACCTTGTCTGAAAGTGAACTAGAAAGAACAGGTTTGAAGGCAAATAGTGACTCTGGGGGACAGAAAAGGACCTTAATTCCCTTTCCCCCCCCATCCCCTCCCCCTCACTACCCAATCTACAATAATAAGTTGGGACAAGCATTTCCTCTTAAATTGAATTTAGCAACGCCAGTATAATTTGTACTTCATTTTCCTTCCACTCCCCTTTCTTTCCCCTCCCTTTTGCTGAATGTTTTATTTCCTTTCTCTAAAACCCAACATCACTCTCTAATCGCCCAACTAAGTTGGCTTTCCCTGGATGGTAAGACACAATGGAAATACCAATTATTCAGTGTTGAGCTTTGAACCTGGTCTGAAAAATACATTAATGAGCTATTTTCTGCCCAGCCCAAATAATTGGTAACTAATCTCTTGCAGTTCAGTGATTTTATTTTCCTTTTTGCAACTGGGCAAAGGCCTCAAATGTGAGGGGTGAGTGTTGGGCTGTTGTGTCCAGCAAAATTAATCCATAGGCATGGTGTTACAAGATCAAAATCAAATTAGATAAGTTTCTTTTAGGAAATAATATCATGGGATACAGTATATAATTTGGGACATGATGTATGTGCGACTGCCAGGATGGTTGAAGGCGAACTGGATGGACCTTGCTCATCTTTTGTCTAGCAATTTGTATGTTTTTAAGATTGATCTGGTTGAAGAAGGCCGTTCGGCCCATCCATTCTCATCCCTCTGGAATACCAACCCTACTGTTTCTCTCCGACCCCTCCCCAAGCACTAGTACTTTTTAAATGAATCTAGTGTCCTGGCCTTTACCACCCGTCCTGGTAACCTGTTCCATTCGTTGATTATCCTCTGTGTATAATAAAAAAAATTCCTGGTATCTGAACTAAAATTACCCTTTACAAACTCTAAACCTATGCCTCTTGTTCTCCTGCCTTGTTACACCTGACTTGCCTTTCAAGTACCTGCAAACCTGGTTTGCACGGGTGAAAATGTGGGGCAACAGAGCAAGAAATACCTTCATTTTTATTTAGAATATCTCTCTTGATTTTATCCACTCTGTTGATCCGAAAGCACTGATGCTAAATCATGGTTCCAGCTGCGCCCACAGTCCTCTCTGCCTCTGTGTATAATAAAAAAAAATCTTGGTATCTGAACTAAAATTACCAGAGTATTTGACCATGGAAGGTGTCACAGCCAAGCCAGAGCACTCTGCAGAAGAGGCCACTGGACAGGCTTAAAGAAAGAACTCTGTGCAACCTTCTTGTTACCAAAAAAAAATGTGGTCACTCAATCCACGATTGTTTGTGGGACACTGCTGTGTGCAATTGGCTGCCATGTTTCACCCACAAAATACAGTCAATCCACATTACAATATATTCTGTGAAGCACTTTGAGACATCTCAACAACGTGATAAGGCGATATATCAAATTCAATGATTATTAGCTCGAGGGCATTAATGTCCATTCTAGCACCTCAGCTATAGCCCAAGCTGAGGCCAGCAAATGGAATTGGACTTGAACTAGCAAATGCTCTGAATAGTCTTACAGTGCAATTGGATTGCACCTTTTATCCACTAAGCTGTTGGGCGTCTGAACACTCTTCGAAGAAACTGTTACAAAACGTGAATTTCTTTTTTTAAAAATCGTGAGTACAGTGTCTTTTGTTGTTGAAAAGAATTTGCAAACAAAGAGGCCTTTGTGTGTAACGTGACTGATAATAACAATCAACGTATGAAAGTGAAAGAAAATGGGATGGGTTAAAGTTTCATGTGCGTACTTCAGAACATTAATGGCTCCACTTCTAAGAATCTTAAAGTTCACAAACTGATTTCCCCTCCACCGAAGTGTTTCTGACCTGAAATGCACATTTATAATAATAATACTACATTTGATATAGCATCTTTCATGTCATGAAGACATCACAAAGTGCTTCACAGGATTTGTATCTGAGTGACTGTGCGTTGTGGGTAAATGCCCTTTCTCCCAAAAACAGATTTTTTTGGAACCATAAAAATTTCCAACGCAGAAGAAGGCCATTCGACCCATCGTGCTTGTGCTGGCTCTTTTAAAGAGCAAAATCCCACCGCACTGTTGATTTGAGAATTTATAGAATTCTTAATTATTGATGACTTAATATTAAATAAACAAACAAATAAATAATTTGGTCATCCAATCAAAGACTATTGTGGGACACTGCGGTGTGCAATTGGCTGAGGTGTTTTGCTCACAAAATGTACAGTCTGTTCACTTTACAGTATAGTGTGTGAAATGCTTTAAGACGTCTCGAAAATGTGATAAGACGCTATATGAAATGCAAGGATTATTATTGTTATTATTTACTGTTTACAGTAAACTGGGTGTCAGCTTGGCTCATTTGGTGGCAATCTGCCCTCTGAGTTAGGTTCTCGGTTCAAGCCCCACATTAGACTTTGAGCTCATGATCTAGGCTGACGTTTTAATAACTGAACAAACAAATAAATAAATAATTTGGTCACTCAATCATGTGTGTTGAAGGTGCTGTCCTTCAGATGAGATGTTGAACTGCAATCCCATCTGTCTGTTCAGATGGACATTAAAGATTCCATAGCACTATTTGGAAAAGGAAAGGAGTTTCTTCCATTATCCTGGCCAACTATGCCCCAAATACAATTGGTTATTCAATTCGGTTGTTTGTGTGATATTGCTGCGTGCAAAGCAGCTGCTTTTTTCACCTATAAAATAGTCACCTCAGTAAAATCCTGTGAAGAGCTTTGAGACAACTCAATGCAGTGATAAGACTCTAACATATGCAAGTATTATTATTATGAATGAACAGAATATTTCAAATGCTATTAGAGACTTGGTAACTAGTTATTTTGAAAATAAACACTTTTTAGAATCCTAAATAAACATTTGGGGAATTTGGTTTATCTCTGGCTCAAGGTTACATGAATGGTTGGGATACACATTGCTCCACATTGCCATACTGTTGGAATCTCTTACACTTCACTCCTGGGAGTGTAACCAAAGTGTACCTTTTTTTTATTAAATTGTGTTTCACTTGTTTTGCACAGTAAATGATTCTAATCCATTAAAATCTTATGGATTAAGATTGGTCTATTGATCGTCAGTGCTGAGTAAAATTTTAATCCTCAAATCATTCTGTCTAGAGACGTTGACTCTTGTTCTGAAACCACTGCTCAGTTTTTATGAACAACAAAACACTCTTAAGTATTGTTTCCCCAAACTAAGTCCAACCCCTTTTTCATTATTTATTGTGCACCTGTTCTGAACTGCAGCTAGATTTCAGCTCCACATCCATCCACTTGTGGATTAAGAAATTAGAGGTGAGAAATCAATTCAAATCCTGTCCAAGATGAGTTACAGATTTAATAAGAAATTGAGATTGGACTGTTTTTGTCACTACTTTTAAAACAAAGGAAAGACTTGTGTTTGGAGAGTTCTGGTCGCATCATATAAGTATTTGTACTGTGTATTCCAGTCCGTCGAACCTGTGGCTAAAACTATTAAAAATAAAAACCATTAGAACAAGTTTACTTAAAGTTGTGAAGATGAAATATGAGCTGAAATGACCTAGAGCTCCTACTCTTTATGTGTGTGTGTGTGTGTGTGGATGGATGGATGTGTATAAGCTATCAAAACATTTTAAACTGTGTCTCAGTTTCATCTTTTGTTGTAGCGGGGGGGTGGGTGGGGGGTTGCTAGTAAAATCTACATCTGGGGAAGAATGTCCCATTTTGGCACCATGTCTACTTAAAATGTTCTTGTGTTAGCGAGCTTGATTTAAAAGAAAAACTAAAACTCTCAGCACTGATGTCTTGAGCTCAGATCAGGCAATTCAGGAGATTCATACAGGAGACTCTTTGCAGTTTGCTATATATATTTTTAAATCTGGTCACTCAATCGATGACTGTTTGTGGGACACTGCTGTGGCTGCCGCAATTTGCCCTCAAAATACAGGCATTACACTTTACAGTATATTCTGTGAAGCGCTTTGAGACGTTTCAACGATGTGATAAGGTGCTATATCAAATACAAGTATTATTATTATTTCATCAAACACTGCCATGCCCGTGGGAAAACTGATGTGTCGTTTCACTTGTTTCTGTCAGTTTCAGCGATGATATGGAGGCCAAAGTGACGATAGATGATGGAAAAGTAGAAAGTGTTGGACCGGACACATGGTATAAGTAAGTGAGAGATTGTTCTTTGTTCCTGCACACAAAAACATTGATGTGGTGTAAATATAATGCCAATGGGGCGTTCTGTAGTTCAGCAAGTTTGTCCGGTGAGCAGCTAAGGTGGTGACGAAATTTGAATGAGTTGGCTGATCTCAGCAGGGAAGCAACAAGAGGTTCCATAATTGTCCGCAACTTTATTGGTTATCCCAGGAAACGGTGGGTGGGTGGGTGGGGGGTTGGGGGCGGTGGGGGGAAAGAGTGAGAAAGTCAGTTCCCACTTCTACTGATAATTCAATGACAACTCCCATCCCCACCTCCTTCTCCCACCATTAAAAGCTGTTTTAAAAAAAAATCATCATAATAATTTGGTCACTCAATCCATGACTGTTTGTGAGACACCGCTTAGCACAATTGGCTGCCGCGTTTTGCCAACAGAAAATACAGTTAATTCGCTTTACAGTATATGCAATATTAAAAAATAGTAATCTTGCATTTGATATAGCGCCTTATCACGTCTTCGAGACGTCTCAAAGCACTTCACAGAATATACTGTAAAGTGAATTGACTATATTTTGTGGGCAAATGCGGCAGCCAATTGCACACAGCAGTGTTCCACAAACAGTCGTGGATTGAAGTGACCAATTTATTATTTTTTTTTGAAGGAATTATTACCCCCAGAAAAGCGATCCGCCAATCGATTAACAACTAGGTTCCTACTTACTGCTAGGTAAACAGAGGCGTGTGGAGTAAGGAAACTTGCCCAACATTTTGGCCTACCAGGAATTGAACCCAAGTCTCTCGCTTGCAAGACGAGTGCTCTAACCACTGAGCTATAGGACTCCACATGTGAGCCCTTTGAGATGCCTCGAAGATGTGATAAGGCATTATATCAAATGTAATATTATTATTATGTGTGTGTTTATAAACCAGGTGAGAACCAAATCAGAATTGACGTCCTCTCAACATTGTCCAGCTTCAGACCTGAATAATAATCATTTAGGCTGACTTATTCTATCTACCAGTGATACAGTTCCACAGGCTCAGGAAGGTATCACTGATTGATAGAATAAGTTGAAAATACTTTGGGGAGTGGAAAAAAATGCAATTGTTTTAAATGCACTTGCTTTCCTGCTGATTCAACGCTGGCTATTGAAATATGGTTAATATTATTATTTATTTGTGTCAGCCTGGATCAGCTGGTTTCTGAGGTTAGTAGGCTGTGGATTCAAGCCCCACGTGGGAACTTTGAACTCACTGTAGTCCGATACTCCAGTGCAATGCTGGGGGGAGTGCTGCATTGTCAGAGATGGCGTTCTTGGGTTGAGATGCTTCAATGCTGTATTTAAATTGGCTGTGGGGTTGTCTACAAATACAATCAGGATGCAGTAGTATCCTATGAAGTGCTTTGAGGTGACTTGACAATGTAATAAGGTGCTCTATCAAAAACAAGGATTATCATTCCAAGCAATTCTATGTAAATGTCACCTCATCAAATTGAAAATGGGGAGGAGTACCACTGAAATATAGACATAACTACAGTCATTTTATTAATAGTACAACACTGGTTAATTTTTTGACAAATTCACAGAAATAAATAGGAAACTTTAATAATCAGCAAATGTTGATTAGTGAGGGAATGAATTAAAATACAATTTACATTTATACAGCACCTTTCATGTCAGGATGGAGGCTGTTGTAAAGCTTATTTTAGCAGTCAGGTTCTGTTTGTATTTTTACTTTTATTATGTAAACAAGAATGGCGTATTTTTAAACAGTTACGTATTGCGCAATGATATTCTAGGCTGGCTTTTTTTTCTTCCATTCCTACACTCCAATACTGGGAGGTGAAATTCTTCAGATGGAACATTAAACTAAGATCCTTGCGTGAAGTCCCATAGTACAGTGGTTAGCGCTCTCACCTCGCAACAAGAGGACCCGGGTTCAATTCCCGAGCGGGGTGGAACATTAGGCAAGTTTGCTTATTCCACATGCCTCCGTTTACCTAGCAGTTGTTCATCGATTGGCAGATTGCTTTCCAGGGGTAAAAATCCTTCCAAAATTTTTTTTCGCTCAATCCACAACTGTTTGTTGCGCATGCGCAATTGGCTGCCACATTTCGGCCACAAAATACAGTCAATCAACTTTACAATATATTCTGTGAAGTATTTTGATACGTCTTGATGAGGTGATAAAGTGTTGCAGCAAATGCAAGGATTATTATCCTCTCTAACTGTTCAGGTTAAAGATTTCATGGTTTTCTTTCCCCAGTGTTCTGGCCAGCAATCACCCAGATAGCATTGGTTATTCGCTTGATGCTGTTTGTGGGACATTTCTGTTGCACAAACTGGCTGCCACTTTATCTACAAAATATCCTCTCTCCACTTTACAGTACATTCTGTGAAGCACTTTGAGACGTCCACCTGGCATAAAGGGGACTATATTGCATGCAAGAATTATTTTTAATGTTAAAAGAAATTCAGATGCTATTAGATTGATCATTTGTTTATGTATAATGCTTCTCTGGTGTTGACTATCTGATTGTTTGCAACAACTTGAAATGAACTTACTTAAAAATAATTTTAATAATGCAGTACTTGCATTTGATTATGGTGCCTTTCACGTCAAGAGGACGTCTCAAAGCGCTCCATGGGATTTATTGTAATGTGCAGTGATTGTGTTTTATAGACTAACTTTAAGGAATAAAAATTGGTATGATGTTGAGGTGCTCACAAGTGTTTTGTTTTGTTACAGTGAAATCAAGCAAGCAATTGCACCTTATGTCATGTCTTTCTGGTTCCAGTAAGTAACCCATTCCTGATTTCCTAAGGCTCTTTGAAAATGCAGTGGTGCTCTCTCTGGTACTGTACAGAAGGGTTTGTATTTTGTTTTCCAAATGTAATTTTGTTGTCGTTTTGAAGAGCCCAGGCTGTACAGTATGTAGTTTCTAGCAATCCATAAATGTCTCTCCCTCTCCCCAGGCCTCCCCACCCCAAAGCTGAATTCAGGCTTTATAAATTAATTCTGGAGAAAATAGTATTTCATCCATAGACTTCCACAAAATGGATAATTATCTGTGAAACTTTTTTCCAAAAAACATTAATGGTACTTATAGATGTGGTCCTTAAAGGTAGAATCTGCGTATTGTAGAACCTCTTTAAAATGTGCGCAATTGGCTGCCCCTTTTTGCCCACAAAGTACACAGTCACTACACTTTACAATATATCCTGTGAAGCGCTTTGAGACGTATTGATGATGTGATAAAGTGCTCTATCACAAGTAAGGTTTCATAAAATTCCAACCCATGTAATTGTGAGGCACGATAGCCCGGCTCGCTGCTCACCAGCTGGTTCCCAGGCTAAAAGTAAAGGTTGACTTCCAGGTAGCTGTCAGCACCGCTTCCTGTCTGCTGTTCAGGCCCAAAGCAAGACGTGGCGTTGACAGCAACTTGATGATTTGCTTTTATTTAATTGCGGGAAGTTAAAATGACTGCCTTTGAGTCAATAGGGTCGCAGTCCACTTCCTGCTTTGCACATATGCAGTGAATTGGGTCCACAGGGAACTAAATTGGGACTGAATTTGCACTTTGTAGAGAAGCGTGTTATAATGGGATTACACAGTAATAGCATTTGTGGGAGTGTAGTGATGCCTTTCATCAGGGTACCAACTGCATCCAGGGAGTAATAGAACGCTAAACTGTCCATCAGTTGATGGACTAAGTTTCACATACTGCACTGTACTGTCAGGAGGAGGGGAATGAATGCAAAATTTAATAATTAAAATTCAAGCGCTCTGAAACGCTGTCTGGCATGAAGGGTGCTATATAAATGCAAGTTGTTGTTAAATCAAGGAGGGGGTATTTTTTATTTAACATCTAAATCTGTTAAATCCTGTAAAATTCACCCCAGTGCATTGTAACCTTTGCAAACCTCGCATATCTTAGTTTTTTTTAAAACATGTTCACATTATTCCATTCAACGGGATTTAATTTTTTGTTTGTATCATTTCTGTTGCAGGATTTTTGGTATTGTGCTTATAATTGTTGACGTGATTCTTGTAATTGTCGACTTGTTCACTTCAAACAAAAGCAAGCACACCGGGAATGCCATTGTAGGCATCTCCTTGGGAATATCCTTCTTCTTTGTCGTTGATGTTCTCCTCAGAGTCTTTGTTGAGGGGTAAGTAAGGGCCTTTATAATAATAATAATAATAATCCTTGCATTTGATATCGCGCCTTATCACATCTTCAAGACGTCTCAAAGAGCTTCATAGAATATATTGTAAAGCAAATTGACTATTTTTTTTGTGGACGAAACGCAGCAGCCAGTTGTGCAATGTGGTATCCCAAAAACAGTCATGGATTAAATGACAAAATTATTATAATATTTTTATTTATTTATTGCCCCCAGAAAGCAATCCGCCAATTGACTAACAACAGTGTTCCAACTTGCTGCTAGGTAAACATATGTATGGAGTAAAGAAACTTGCCTAAAGTTTTGTCTAGCCTGGGAATCAAACCCAAGTCCTCTTGCTTGCAAGGCTGAACCACTGTATTTCTCTGACCAATATTCTGCAGGAAAATGTATTTTGTTGGGCCGACCATAAAGTTTGGTCACCATTGATCTAATCACACTTCCAATTGGGCTGAATAGCCTGTTTGTGTCTGTGACACTCGAAGTAATGATAATTATCCTTCCATTTGATATAGTGCCTTTCACGTCGGAAGCATGTCTTGAAGGGTTTAAGAGGATATACTGTTAAGAGGTGTAATTGTATTTTGTGGGCAAATGTGGCAGCCATTTTGCTTGCAGGAACATACAGCAATAAAATAATGATCCTTGCATTTGACATCGGGCCTTATCATGTCGTCGAGACGTCTCAAAGCGCTTCACAGAATATACTGTGAAGTGCATTGACTGTGTGTTTTGTGAGTGAAGTGAATAGCCAGGTTTAATTTTTACGATCAATTTCCCTTTGAAAAGGAAAGCTTTCCAAGCCTGAAGCTTATAAACCTGAAGCTTTAATCTGACCATTTACTATCTGTACACCACAGGTTCCGTGTATACTTTCGAAATAAACTACACATCTTGGATGCCGTCATTGTTGTCGTTACCCAAGTTATTACGATGGTGTATGCATTCTCAGATTTAAGTGGATCCACTCACATTCCCAGGTATGGTGGGTTTTTTTTCTATGAAGGAGATGGAAAACTGGGAACACTATAGTTATAAGAGTAATTAATAATCATTTCATTCGATACAGGGCCTTTCATGTCAGGAGGACATCTTAAAGCACTTCACAGGATGTACGTAAAGTGTAGTGACCAGTGCCTTGGGACGTCCTCCCGACATGAAACGAGCTACACAAATGTAATTTGTTGTTGCTTATTTTGTAGTCGAACATGGCAGTTAATTTGCACGTAATAATGCTCCTCAAATAACCAAGACGTGATTGACCATAAAGCATATCTCAAGCATTGCGTTGAAGTTGTCAAGTTAGATTAAATGAGTTCCAATCCCTAAATGACTCTGGACTTGAACTCACAATCTTCTGACTCAAAAGTAAGAATGCTACCAACTGAGAAACTGACACACAAATTGGAGAAAAAAGTGTTTTTTTTAAACAAAAGTACCTAACTTCCATGATATTTAGAGTGGTGTTTGGTTTAAAAACATCGGTTTTAATTTACATTGATCGGGAAAAGTAAACCCAGCACAATCCAATCTTTTAAATGAGGGTTACTGTCGTCTTTTATGGGTCTCCAACCAAATGTGAACAGTTGGACGTTGAGGTCAAAGTGCTTTCATTGTTTCATTACACCAGTAACTTTCCTGAACCCTTGACTTTCAGTAAGTTTTCAAACTATTTGCATCCTGAAGCTAAATCTTCTCCATTCTATTTTTGGTATTTAACCGTTTCAAAGGCTTGAAGGTGAATGAGATTTAGGGCTAAAAATAGCTTTTCTTGAATTGCTGAGAAGACCTTTTGGGTTTGAATTTAAACAGAAGGCGGTGAGCAGGTCCAGATATGAACTTAATGTGAACTTAATCTATTAGTAAATTACTGATGGGTACCTATTGTTTTAATGTGAATCTTGCTACCTAGAGGGGTGGAAAGAAATGGATTCAGGAGAAGGGATTAGTGATGGACACTCTGCAGACACCCTGCACATGAGAACATACTGATATCATGACCTTAGAAATGAAGGGTTCTGCCTCTGCTTGTGAATCAGTTGGAAATATAATTTTGTTGGTACAATATAGTACAATGTATATTTACGTTGGGAGGACTTAACATCTGAGCTAGGGGTGGGAGCCGTGAAGGGTAGAAAGGGGAAAGATGACCAAAGCGCAGTCAAAGTGGTGCATTTCAACAGATCTTGGACGGGGTGCGGAGTGAATGAGTACTCGGGGATGGAGTGCAAGAGAATGAAGGCTGAATGGCTGAAAGCCCACCTGCCATGGATATGGTAGGGGACATGAAGCAGTGAAGGGACACAGATTAAACCAAGTCTAAATAAGATAGGGCACAATGATTGCTGTGCTGTTGAGGCTGGGGAGTGGGGTGGACATGGAGCGAGCATTGGAAACATGAGAGGAGAACTGAATTGTTGAAAAATAATTCAGTTTTATTTTGAGATCAACTGGGACAGAATAAGTAAATTGTACAGAAGTCTGCTTGAATGCATCATTGATGTTGCAAAATTGGAGACCTGACCTTTTAAATGGTCTAAATTATTGGCTGGGATAAGTTTAGGTTTTTGAAGACCAGACTGTCACTGATCTCCCTGACTTTATTCCTTAGGGTGATCACTATCTTCCGAATTCTCCGAGTGGTCATTCTCATCAGGATTTTCAGGCTAGCCTCCCAGAAAAAACGTTTAGAAAAAGCCACGAGAAGGATGGTGAGTTGGAAACCTTTCCCGCACTATAAGCCTAAACTCTGCTTGTAGCAGCTTTGCTAGAAATTAATGTGTTTGGGCCTTCAAAATGAATCTATGAATAATGGAAAAAACTCTGTTGTTAAGTCTAACTTTGGAACCTGGTGTCTCCAGATAAAATGATGGCTGTGGGGTGAAAAGCCGACTGCTCTTTTTTATTACTACTACATTAAAGGCAAGCCTGACTTTGGAAAAATAACATTTTCAAAGCATCCAGAGGTTCTGTTGCATCCATGTACAGAGGCATGGCTGTGTGTCAGATTGGCTCAGTTGGTAGCACTCTCGCCTACATAAGTCAGAAGATGGGTTCAAGCCCCACGTTGGGACTTGGAACTTGTATAGTCTAAGCTGACGCTTCAATGCAATGCCGGGGGTGGGGAGAGCAGCATCCCAACAGATGCAGTCTTTTAGTTGAGACATTAAACCGAGGTGCTGTCTACCTTTTCAATTGGATGTTAAAGATCCCATGACACTATTCAAAAAAGAGAAGGGAGTTTCTCCTGGTGTCCTGGTCAGCAATCCCCCAAATAAAATTGGCCATTCGTTTCATGGCTGTTTGTGATTGCTATGCACAATCGCATACAAAAACAAAGTCACTTCATTTGACAGTAAATTCTGTGCTTTGGGATGTCCTCCTGATGTGAAAGGTGCTATACCAAATGCAAAGATTATTATGTACTCAAGTGAAAAGTATTGGCACTTTCGGAACTAGGAACATATATGTATGGGGATGTCTTAACATTATCGCTTAGGAATTGCAATACCATTTTGCGCACCAGTGAAGCTGTATTCTTGTGACTCAGCAGAAATTAAATGATAAGATACTATATCAAATGCAAAAATAGTAGGATTATTATATAATCTATTAATCAGGAGATCATGCAACTAATTTGTGCCTCTTCATAAATGTGAAATACCTGTTTTGTAACTTGTCATATTTTAAGAAAATTAAGGGTCATTCCGAAAACCCAATAATGTTCCGTGTGCTTACGAAAACAATAGTCTCAGTGCAATAAAAATGACTGAGCAGATTGTATTCAAACTTTGAAGTACAACAACGACTTGCACTTATATAGCGCCCTCCATGCAGGGCAGCGTCTCTATATAACGTGCTGAAGTTTCAATGTCTTACTTGCTTGCTTTCTTGTGTAATGTACAAACAAAAGTTCCAACTGAGTTTCTCAGGTCAGTTTCATGGGTTAGAAAAAGCCTTCAAGCTGTGAAAGCCTCATTGTAGCTGTTGATATTAAAAACACAAGCCAGTTTTGGGGTGTGACTTGGTTGCTATGGATTTGTCAGGTTGTGTGGTTTTCTGCAATGCCTCTGTGATCATAAATCAATATAAAATGTTGCACTCACAGCTGTGGTTGAAGCGGAAACCATCAACGTATTTAAGAGGAAATTTGTATAATAATCCCTGTATTTGATATATAGTGCCTTTCGTGATCGAGATGTCTCAAAATACTTTACAGGATTTAGAACCATAGAAATTCACAGCATAGAAGGCCATTCGGGCTATCATGTCTGTGCTGGCTCTTTGAAAGAGCAATCCTTTCATTCCCATTTACTCCCTTTTAGATATCTATTGAGTTCCCTTTTGAAAGCTCATATGGATTCTGCCTGAGCCATAGGTCCCAGCAGACCATTCCATAACCTAACCATCTGTGCAGGAAAAAAATTCTCCTAACCTCCAATTTTGCTCATTTTCTAACTTAAATGAATGCCCTCTAGTCACTGACTCACCGACTGGGAAATAAATCCTCTTTAGATTGCAAAACCTGGTTCTGTCACTGCCTGCAGCTCAGGTGCCAAGATAGGACTAAGCGTCTTGGGACATCTTCCGGACATGAAAGGAGCTATATAAATAAATTTGGTATAGCACCTTTCACATCGGGAAGTTCTTATGTTCTCATGAGGATGTCCCAAAGCGCTTCACATGATTTATTGTAAAATAGAACGACTGTGTTTTGTGGGAAAACATGTAAATTTTAATTGTAAGTGTAGTGATTGTGTAATTGTGGTGCAGGATCTGGTGTGTGGTGTATGTTGGAGGTGTAGAGCTTATTTGACCAATTCTGTAGTGAAAAAAGTGCAATGACGATCTTTTGGAAGGCCGTTTGTACATTTAGTAATAGTTTTGGGCAGAAGTAATAACTTGGAGTTGTACTAACAATGAGTTGATTTTTAACAGGTGTCTGAAAACAAAAGGCGCTATCAGAAAGATGGGTTTGACCTGGACCTCACCTATATTACAGGTTTGTTGATATTATGTGTGTAATGGGCTGGAAACTGTTGATATCCTACTAACTGGATGTCAAAGATCATGAGCTATCCAATGCAGAACCCTTGCTTCTCACTGTCACTGTTGGGAATGGAGTGAGGGCAGAGCGGGGGAGAGATTCTTCAACCTCATGACAACCAATTGCATTTTATGTCGCGCCCTTCACACTCAGAGTGCTTAACAGTGGAGAAGCTTGACGCTGAGCCAGGAGGAGAGAGAGGTTGAAGAGGAAGGTCTTCAGTGTGATCTGACGATGGGCAAGGTGGAGGGATTGAGGCAGAGTTCCAGAGTTTCGGGGTGTAGTGACTGAAAGCCGTCGAGATCAATATTGGGAACAGTAGGTTGAGAAAGTATCCACCTCTGGCCTATTTAAGTGTGAACTTTTGTGGCTTCCGATATCCACAACTAAGGCTGGAGTAAAATTCCTTTATGTTTTACCAATGCAGTGCTGAAACTCACTGTCCACCTATTGGTTGGAGACATTGCCTCATTACTTCCTTCCCTCAAGTAAACACCTCTGTTCAATCAAGTCCTCCTTTTTGTTGTTTCTTGTAGTTCTTTGCGTTGCCTCATTCTCTGAACTGACAACGGCATTTCTGATGCTGATCTTGTTTGGTTTTCTACAGATCGGGTCATTGCTATGTCTTTCCCGTCATCTGGGAAGCAATCGCTTTACAGAAACCCTATTGAGGTATGTGTTCTGTAATGGAATAAATCATCCTCTTGATATGTGTGTTTTTAAAATTAACTGAATGTTTAAGACAAGATAAATGTTTGCCATCTGAGCTTTCGGCTCTTCTCCCTCCCCCCTCTCTGTCCACTTGCATTTATCTTCAATGACTTTAATATTAAAACCATTTGAAACTCATTGCACCAACTCCTCCTGTATATGCCAGCTATGAGGATCGGTTCATTGGGTGGGAATTGGCTTTGTCCACACAATTTTAGTGCGGAGTCCTGTAGCGTATTGGCTAAAACACTCGCCTCGCAAGAAGGTTTGATTAGGCAGGACGAAACCTTAGGCAAGTTTCCTTACTCCACCCACCTCTGTTTACCCAGCAGTAAGTAGAAGTCGATTGGCTGACCGCTTTCTGGAGGTAATAATCCCTTTTATAAAAAATACTAATAATAACTTGGTAACTCAATCCACAACTGATTGTGGGACAGTGCTATGTGCAATTGGCTTCAATTCACTTTACAATATATTCTGTGAAGCACTTTCAGACATCTCGATGATGTGATAAGGCGCTGCAGCAAATGCAAGGATTATTATTGTTATAGTGTCTCTTTTTAAAAATGAGTAATCACTAACTTGATGCTTTCACAGGAGGTTGTAAGATTTTTCGACACAAAGCACAAAGAACATTACAAAGTCTATAACCTTTGCAGTAAGTATGTTATTTCCTATTTGAGGGTATTCTTTTGGCAGGCAGTGTTTGACAGACAGTGTTTTTTATATAAGAATAGTTTTAAATGGATTAGAGAGGAGAGAAAAATAATGTTAATATATGAGTGGGTAAACTGGGCTTTGATCTTATTGAGTCTCTTTCGAGAAACTTCCTTTTGTACTTGAATTGTGCCGTGGGATCTTTAACGTCCACCTGGATGGGCAAACAGAACCTTGGTCTGACGTCTCATACAAAGCTGATGCCTCTGACAGTGCAGTTTTGGGGGGGAGTGCTGCATTGTTGGAGTTGCCGTCATTTGGGTGAGACTTTAAATGGAGCTTCCGTCTGGCTATCCAGGTGGATGTTAAGGATCCCATGGCACTATTTGAAAAGAGGAGTTTCTCCCAGTGTTCTAGCCAACAACTCTTTCCTTGCCCGCCCCCTCGACTAAGATATTTAACCCACTTCATGGCTGTTTGTTGGATATTGTTGCATACAAATTGACTACAGCATAGAGTTTTTTTTAGACTTCTCAATGTGATAAAGTGCTATATCAAATGCAAGTATTATAATAATAAAAATGTATCCGTTTGACTTTCCCTGCGGTCACCTCCATCCTTTGCCCTACTTGGCGTTCAGCACCGTCTTTGTAAAGTGCTGTGAAGCGATGCTCTATCTGGAGGGTGCTGTATAAGTACAAGTTTTATTTATTGACAGTTGTCTTTCAGTCTGAATGGAGTTGATCGAACATTTCAATTCCAGGTGAAAAAGGCTACGATCCCAGATATTTTCATTACAGAGTGGAAAGGATTTTCATTGATGACCATAACGTGCCTGTGTTGGAGTAAGTCTTCCTTTTTTGCTTCATGTAGTTCAAGCGAGAGGACCTGGGTTTGATTCCCCGAGAGGGTGAAACATTAGGCAATTTTCCTTATTCCACATGCCTATGTTTACCTAGCAGTAAGTAGGAACTTGGTTGTTAGTCGATTAGTGGATCACTTTTATGGGGGTCATAATCCCTTCAAAATAAATAATAAATTGTTCAATCAATCCACGACTGTTTGTAGGACACCTCTGTGTGCAATTGGCTGCTGCATTTCACCCGCAAAATACACAGTCAATTCACTTTCCAGTATATTCTGTGAAGCACTTTGAGTCGTCTCGAAGATTTGATAAGGCACTATATCAAAAGCAAGTACAGGTATTAATATTATTGAAGGCACAAGGGGCAAATACAGTGCAGCCCCACTGATAACATGGTAGTTCAGGGACCTTGAAATCCCAACCAACCTTCTAATGGGATGTAATCGCTGGTTCAGCACTTCTGTATTCACTGAGCAATCGTGCAGAAAGCCAGTGCGCTCAAAAACACCAGCTGCTCTTGTGCTTAAATAGCATGGTGCACAGATACTGATGGTGACAAACTGATGACCTTGATATAGGCCACTTTTTTTTAAAGAAGCTGGTCAGATTTCTGGATTTTTTTAGTAAGTAAATATCAGGGTCCACACCCCAATCACTCTATAAGCAAATTGCATGATAATGAAATGCCTTTCAGTGTTGTTCTACTGCACCAAGGCTGGAACGAATAGGAGAAATGAGTTGTGCGCACTGATTAAAGCCGAATAAAATGGGACATTCACTTCATGGCTGTTTGTTTGTGGGACAGTGTTGAGTAAATTGGCTGTAGCATTTGCCCACAAAAATACAGCTAGCACATAAGTGTTGTAAATTTCAATGGTTCTAGAGGGAATGATGCACTTTTGTTTATAAGGTGTTTTCTTTTAAAAAAAACTTTGATTATTTTGTTCCCAAGTTGCAATATTTCTGCATTCCTTCTACAGGGACATGTTAAAGTTTACAGCGAATGTTCGAGAATGGATGGCAGCTGATGAGAGAAATGTTGTAGCGATTCATTGTAAAGGTGGAAAAGGTAATGCAGATTTTTCCTCTGGTAATGGAAAATATAAAAGGCTTACACTTAATCATAACCAGCGATATCTCAATTTAAGGTCAATTTAACATTTCTATAAAATAATGATAATTCACAATTATTGTGTCGAACAGCCCTCTTTTTAAAAAAAATTGCAATGTGTGATTATTCCTCTGATGTCAGGAGGGCACCCAGGTCTGAAACCAATCTTTAAAGAAAGGTTTAAAAGGACTTTTGTTGAACTTTAACTAGTACTAGCTCTGCAGGTGGCCATTTGACCCAATGTATTTCTGTTGATGCTTGTTTCTCCAATGAAACCTTCTATTCTAATCACATCTGCCCACTCTCCAAATGTGTCAATATCTTCTTGTAGCCTTCCTTACTCTTTGGCACTGACTCCCTCTAATTGAGAGTATCTGCAAACAGCAGCCTGGCTCAGTTGATAGTACTCTTGCTCCCAAGTATGAATGTTGTGGATTCAAGCCCTATGTCAAAACTTTGAGCTAGGTCTAGGCTAACAGTTCAACGCAGTGCTGGGAGGGTGTGCTGCAATGTTGGAGGTGCCATCCTTTGGATGAGATGTTAAACCAGAGTCCCATCTGCTTGTTCAGGTAGACATTAAAGATTCCATGGCGTTCCTTGAAAAGAGAAGGAAATTTCTCAGGGTGCCCTGGCCAAAAAGAAAACCAAATAAAGTTGTTCTCTCGCTCACTGCATGGCTGTTTGTGGGACATTACTGTGTGCAAAATGGCTGCTGCGTTTGCCTACAAAAGGTCACACCAATTTACAGTAAACCCTGTGAAGTCTTTTCCCAACATGAAAGATATGTACCAAAAGCAAGGATTAATAATGCATAGAATAATCTTCATATCTCCTCATTTTTATGGAGCTATGTTATGATTGCCTTTAAACCCTTTTGAGACGCTGCCATTAGAACAGTATGCAACTGTTCTATTTTGTATAAACTTTTCAAGAACTTTTTTGGGGAAACAATACTATATCACAGTTCTGTTTTTTTAGGCAGGACGGGAACGATGGTTTGTACCTGGTTGATTGACAACGATCAATTTGAGAATGCAAAGGTGAAGTTACTTTAGTGGAAGGTTATTCAATACTTGCAGGACTTTGGCTTGAAGTCTGCAATTTTAATTTGAAGGCAATTTTCAAAATAAAATGTTGATGTGGCAATTAAGAAGGTTTTTAAATGTTTCCAATTTAAAATATTGAATTTATAAATTACACAAGTCATTTTAGTTCCTATTGTGTGAAAGAACTCTAATTGTCTCACATCTGCTGCGTTTTAGGAGAGTTTGGATTACTTTGGAGAAAGGAGAACAGACACAAGTGTCAGCTCAAAGTTTCAGGGAGTAGAGACTCCTTCACAGGTATTTGTCAATGGAAACCAGTCTTCCCATCATTAGTGTTTTATGGTAGCCACGGAAATGAGGGATACACAGTTTGAGTTTATGCTGACTAACCTAATGACTAAAATGCTCAACCATTCTAAAGCTCACCTCTCCTTTCTCCCTGGCTTGGGGTCAAACTCCCCCATTGTTCAGTGTTTGAGACACTATCCCATGTGAAGGAAAATATATATATAATAAATATTAGTAACCCTTGCACTTGTTATGGTGCCTTATCCCGTCATTGAGACATCTCAAAGCGCTTCCATATATAAATGCAAGCTGTTATTACCTGTCCTTCGGATGAGATGTTAAACCAAGGTCACCTCTGCCTGTTCAGATGGATGTTACAGATCCCGTGGCACTATTCAAAAAGAGAAGGGTGTCCTGACCAACAATCCCCCAAATAAAATTGGTCACTCACTCCATGGGACATTGCTGTATGCAACTGGCTGCCGTATTTCGCCCACAAAATACACAGTTAATCCACTTTGCAGTATATCATGTGAAGCGCTTTGAAATGTCTTGATGATGTGAAAAGTGCTATATCAAATGCAAGTGTTATTATGATTTGAAAGGGTTTGTTTTTCCACAAAAAAACTATTACAGCATAATAAAAATCTCTTTTGATCACTTTAATGCATCTTTCTCCATGTAATTCAGGTTTGTAGGGAAAGTTCCATGTGCTGTGGATTCAAGTCATTGATTTAACTGGAATGCTTAAATTGTTGTGATGGTTTTACACTTGGCCTTATAAATGTAATACCAACATGCATGTTAAATTCTTTATATAGTTTACATAAATAAATAATAATAACAACTGTTTATGGGACACTGCGGTGCACAATTAGCTGCCGTGTTTTGCCCACAAAATATACAGTCAATTCACTTTACAGTATATTCTGTGAAGCACTTTGAGATGTCTCAACGATGCAAAAAGGTGCAATATCAAATGCAAGGATAATTATTATAGTCTAGAAACCTGAAAAATACTCAGTTTCAAATTACGTGTAAAATTGTTGCACAGAGGTATGGCACTGAAACAGACCATTTAGTCCAAATAGTCAGTGTTGATGTTTATATTCAACATGAGCCTCCACCCATCCTAATCCCTCTCACTTATACCCCTTTACTCCCTTCTTACTCATGTATGCATCTCTCTTAAATATATTGATGTTACAATGGTTTGTGGCTGAACAAAGAGGAAAGGAAAGATTTAACATTGGTCTAAAGGTTGTGATTGGTTTGTGTTGTGCAGAGTCGATATGTTGGATATTATGAAGTAATGAAAAATGAGTTCAAAAGGCAACTCCCACCACAGAAGAAATTAAAAATTAAAAATATTCGAATCCATTCTGTTCACGGTAAGTTTGTTTTGTTACCACCCTCCCCCCCCCCCCCCCCAACCTCTTGTCTGCCTGGACTGCAAAACCTTTTTTTGAATTTCTGAAATGCTTATCCACATCATCAATTTAAGGTTGTGGCTTCAAGCCCCGTGTCATAATTTTGAACTTAGCCTAGACTGACACTCTAATGTGGTTAAGAGGTTATGCTGTATTGACTGAGCTGCTGTTCTTTAGATGAGATGTTAAACCAATGTCCCATCTGGCTGTTGATCCTGTGGTGCTATTCGAAAAGAGAAGTGTATTTTTCTGGTATCCTGGTCAACAATTCATCTGCCTCTTTCCCACCCCCACCCACCACAATAAAATTGATCATTCGCCCCATAGTAGTTTGTGGGACGTTGTGTGCAAATTGGCTGCTGGGTTCATCCAGAAAATACAGTTGCTACACCTTACGATAAATCCTGTGAAGCACTTTGAAATGTCCTCCTGATGTGAAAGAAACATGGCTGATTTTAGATCTTAGATCTAAATCTAAGTTTAGAATTAGATTTGGCTGATTTTAATAGCCAGCGAACACTGTTGAGTCTCAAGAATATTGGTCAATCAGGGTGACGAACCAAAGGGTGATCAACATCCATGGAACTATACCATCAGCAGAAGAAAAGTGTCAATGTTTTTAGGAAAGGTGACGGAGAGGGAAATGGCAACCAATGTTCTATCCCATCAGGAGGAATAGTCAAATGGAAAACACTTTTTTTTATTGAAAAAAGGCAATGCTGATGACAAATTGTGAGCAGGGATTCTTACTGCTCAGCTCCTGTTAACCCTAACAGAGCCCCAACAGTTTAGGTGCTGCTACTTCAACGAGTAGCAGCAAACTTGCCAGTCAGTGCTCTCAATGGCAGTTGTGTAGTTTTATGAAGTTAAAACTCCAGCAGTTGAACCAACGCATACTCAGGGGCCCCCAAGCTTTTGCACTTGCAGACCTGCGCCAAATATGCTCCAGATTATGTAAACTGGATGGGTCTCTTCCAGGGAAAAATGCATATTTGATTCCAGAAGCGGGTAAATTTCCATGTCCTGGTGTCATACATATGTGAACTCTCTCTGGTTTGGATACTCTTAAAACATGGTGATGGGTTTCTGCTTATGTGAGACATCTGTTTTGTTCTATGTAGGGGTTGGCAGAAACAATGGCAGTGATCTGAAAATTGAAATTATTGTGGCGAAGAGGCTCGTATTTCAATGTGTTTGTGCGACACAAGAAAATTGTAAGGTAAATGGTGCAACATCGGAGCTTATACTCAACAGGACGTCAAACCATCCTTTCAGTTCCCCAAATTTTCCAACCCTCTGGTGGAGCACTTCTTCAGCTGAATCATAGCCTTCTCTTGGTTCTGACTCGAGTCACAGTCACCAATATGATCTCTTCTGCATGATTACAGAATTAACTTGAGCACATTGAAAAGTATACCGCTCGTGTGTCCTTTTCATGCAACTGGAATTAATGACCTTTCATTTGGTACAGCGCTTTATCACATTGTTAAAATGTCTCTGAGCACTTTGCAGCATTTCACTGTAAAGTCTAATGACTATTGGCAGGTGAATCAAGCAATCAATTTGTGCACAGCAATGTCTCACAAACACCCATGACCAATTTTATCTGAGGTTTGTTGGCCACTTTGGGCATTCCGACATTTTGCCTTTGAACACTTGTAGCACAGACGAATTGCAGCATTTCGCCGACAAAATATACAGACAATCACTTTATAGTATATGCTGTGAAGCACTTTGAGACGTCTCAATGAGTTGATAAGATGCTATATCAAAGGTTATAATGACCTTTCTACTTCTGGTTCAACATCTTCTTTGTTATAAACAACAGGTAAGTCCTGTAGCTCAGTGGTTAGAGCACTCGCTTTGCAAGTGAGAGACCTGAGTTCAATTCCAGGCAGAGGGCGAAACCTTGGGCAAGTTTCCTTACTCCACACCCCTAATAATAATCCCTCCAAAAAACAAAACAATAAATTGGTCATTTTGAATCTACGACTGTTTGTGGGACATTGCTGTGTGCAATTGGCTGCCGCGTTCACCCACAAATATACAGTCAATTCACTTTACAGTGTGTTCTGTGAAGCGCTTTGGGACGTCCTCCCGACGTGAAAAGCGCTATATCAAATGCAAGGATTATTATTATTACGGCATGCGAAAACCTTTGTGTGTGGAGAGAACTATTGACTCACCATTTGGTTTGTACCCACAAATGCTGATCCAGTTATTCCACAACAACGTACACTCATAAAGCACCCTCCGTGCAGAGTAGCATCTCAGAGTGCTTAAAATTCAGCATCTTATCAATTCGTTGAGACGTCTCAAAGCGCTTCACAGCATATACTGTAAAGTGATTGTCTGTATATTACTGATTGAATGTTACATTTCTGTGCTCTATCGCTCTATGGAGCTTGACTACTCTTGAGTCTTTTTGTCTATTTTGTTTTTCCTCTCTAGTTGTTCTTCGATGCTGGGAATAACTCTGCTGTGATTAGCTTAGAAAATGGCCCTGAAGTGATCGGTGATGTCAAAGTCCGATTTGAGTCCAGTGGGGTAAGTTATTGAATAGTTTAATCATATCTACATAATAAGAGAACTGCATACATTAGAGGGAAAAAAATAGAATATAGGTGAAGGCAAATAGTAAGGGTGTGCGCTTGTGTGAAGTATAAACTGGCATGGACTAGTTGGGCTGAATGACTTGCCTTTGTGTCCTATCATTCTATGTAACCAATTCTTAAATGTTTAAAAAGAAATTTGATCTCTCTATTCACTTTACAGTATAATCTGTGAAGCACTTTGAGACATCTTAAAGATGTGATAAGGTGCTGTATCAAATGCAAGTATTATTATTTTAACGTGGTTGTTCCCTTTTGTGTCTACATAGGGGCTTCCTAAAGGTTATGATGACTGTCCTTTCTACTTCTGGTTCAACACTTTCTTTGTTGTAAACAACAGGTAAGGCATGTGAAAACCTTTTTGTGTGTGTGTGTGTGTGTGTGTGTGGAGAGAACTATTGACTCACCATTTGGTTTGTACCCACAAATGCTGATCCAGTTATTCAACAACTTACACTCAAAGCACCCTCCATGCAGGGTAGCATCTCGGAGTGCTTAAAATTCAGCCTCTTTATGCCCTTGCCAACTTTCCTTAGCCACCTCACTTTATCAGAGAAAATACAAGGATTTTTACTACACATTGTTGCAGGGTGTGGCACCACCCAATCTTTGACCCTTGCATCTTATAGTTAGGACCCCGAAGCCACCAGAACATGATCTGTAGAACTGGTATACAAGTGTCACCCTGCAATCACATCTGTGGAGTAACCCTTCAAAACCTTGTAACCCTTCAACACCTCAAGTTCACAAAGGGCAAGGAAGGCTCTTCAACCCATTTGATCTCATCCTTCTAGAATGCCCACTCTACCGTCTTGCCATCACCGCATTGAGCTGATTTTTTTTTAAAAATGAGTCGACAGCTCTAGTTTCAACCATTCCTCGTGGTAATCTGTTCCAATTGTTAATTGCAACAGCAACTTGTATTTATAGAATGCCCTTCACGCAGGGTAAAGAAAAATGTCCTAGTGTCTGTCCTGAAATTGCTCTTTGCAACTCTAAACTTGTATCCCCTTGTTCTGACTTTGTATCAAAGGATTTTCTGGGTTTATTTTCTCAATCCCATTATAAAAAAGTATACACATAATTGTAGATGAGGCAGCAATAATCAAGTACAGTCTGAATGGAACTAAGTGCCTTCGTCATTCAAACCTCTTGTGGAATGGATGTAAGCTTGTAGTAATTTACTACTATCAACAGCTCATTGCTGCCACCAGTGGAGGGAGCAGAAATTTATACATAAGGTCACTTTGGTTTTGTGAATGATCTAAAATGTTGTTTACATTCACCCCTAATAGTCACCCAAACCTACAATATAGTGGAATATCACAATGTCTCACAGCCAGCACTTTCCTCATCTCTTCCCTTGAGCAACAGTTTTGAATGATCACAAGACTTGTTTTGGATGAAGATCTATACTTTACTTACTAGTGAGTTTTATAGCCTTGAAATACAATTTAAGTAACTGCCTTGGTTCTAGCTTCTGTTTTTATTTATTTTCTCCAGGCTCCACTTATCTCGGGATGAACTTGACAATCCCCACAAGCCCAAAACCTGGAAAATCTACAGTGAGAAATTTGCAGTGGAGGTGAATTTTGACGAGCCCACTGCCAGTTAATCTATCAACTAGAACAGACCCTTTCCAATATTGTATCATACGTGATCAGTACCTGACTCCCTAAGGGAAAAACATTGTGAAGATGTGTGTGTGTATATATATATATATATATATAGTATCCAAAGGGAACATTTGTACAGTCTGCTATTGAATCTAATCATGTACTCCAGAATAGTTTAGCCCCATCTCTAATCTCTTTACAGCATTTTGATTCTTCGCTTACTTATTCTTCTCTGACATCTGAGCCCAGAGACTTTTTTTTTTGCTCTTTCACTCTCTCTTGTGTGTGTATCTCTCACTTATCAGCAGACTTGATTGGATTTGGGATGACATTTCATTACTGGTTCACTACTGAATACAATAGTGTATTTTTTCCTAGCAAGCAACATAATCAGGTCCTCAACATCTCTCTAATGGGCTACACACTGGTTCAGTGGTCCTCAAGATTCTATACTGAAACTATTTGTCCTTTTTGATTGCTGGAATGTGTGGATATTGAGGAACATTAAGTTCTGGAATTACCATTTGTTCATAACAGAGTGGTGCAATGGGTTCAAAAGTTGACTTGTGGAAGGAACAGTTTGTGTGTTCCCCCAATTGATGCATTTGGACTATTTTGTTCTGCCCTATTTTGGGTGAGACTCTAGTCACAAGCAATTGGCGGGGGTGGGATTGAAGAGGGAAGAAACGTCACTGAATATTCTAGGATGATATTGATTGAACTGTTGCAAATTTCTTCATGCATGTATGTCCATCTCAAAGAATGATTTAACTCAATATGCTTGAGAAAGGTAAGCCCTTTCCTCTACATGTGACCATCATGTTATTCCAGTGTTGCTGTGACTATCAGTTGTGGTCAAATATATTCAAATTAATAATCTTCAGATTTAATATAGTGCCTTATGTCACTGCAAAATCTCAAAGCACTCAAAATTTTACTGTGAAGTCTAGTGCCTGTGAATACAGTTGCCAATTTTGCACACAGCAGTAACCTACAACCAGCCATGAAGTGAATGATCATTGTGTCATCCACTACCCACCCCTCTCCCTTTCACCTGGCCCACCTACGCCCTCCACAACTGTAAATGTTATGTTTCTGGAAGGGAAACACACATATATTATTTATGCGGCCTGCAGACATTTCTCAAATAGGGCATCTGGCCCTCAGGTTGGATCACCCTGATATAGGGGATTGCTGGCTGGTTAAGAAACTGAGAGAAACTCCTGTCACTTTTCAAATAGTGTCATGGGATCATTAATATCTGTCTGAATACACCACCACCATTAAAATTACATTTGTATAGCATCTTTGATATCAGGATAAAGTTCCAAGTTGCTGGACAATCAATGTTTCAGACCCAAGCTGGGGGTTAGATCAGGAAGGGTGGAGGATAGTGGGGGAAGGGGGGTGATGGAAGGCATGGTCAAAGAGGAGGGTCTTGAGACAGGTCTTGAAGGAGGCAAGGGACTGTGGGATGGAGTTCCAGAGGGTGGGGACAGAGTGGCAGAAGGCCTGCCTGCCAATGGTGGGGTGGGCATGGTAGGGGACATGACACAGGCAGGTTAGTAGGGGGTTAGGAAGTCGCAGAAGTTGGGGAGAGCAAGGCCATGGAGGGCTTTGAAGGTGAGAACCAGGGTCTTGATCTATATCCTCTGTGTGATGGGAAGCCAGTGGAGTTGGGCAAGGATGGGGGTGATAGGGTCACGGTGCCTGGTGTGGGAGAGAACACAGGCTGCAGAGTTCTAGATGATCTGCAGCCTATGGAGGGAGGAGTTGGGGAACAGTCAAATAGTCCTTGGTTCAACTGAAGGACAGCACCTCTGACACTAGAGCTCTCTCTCAGCCCTGCATTGAAGTGACAGAATAGATAAATTACATTTGTATAGCACCTTTCATGGCAGGAGGACATGCCATGGTGCTGGACACTGTCGACCACTCTAGTCTCCTCCAAACTCAACCTTCATGGTCCTGTACAGATCCTACTTTTCACAGTCTCCACAAACAGCTTTTCCTCCAGTTCCCCCCACACTAGTACTGGCAGCATCACCACCCATGGATGCGTATCTCACTCAGCCAGTCTAGAACCTTGGTGTCTTGTTTGACCCTCAACTGTTCTTCCTAGCCCATACCTGTGCCATGACCCATTCTGCCTTCCCCCACCTCCGGAAACATAGCTCTGGATGATCTGCAGCTTGTGCACGGAAGTGTTGGGAAGGCCGACAAGTAGGGAGTTGACATAATCAAGCCTAGATGTAACACATGCGTGAACGAGGGTTTCAGCGACCTGAAGGGTGAGGCAGTGGCGGAGCCGAGCTATGTTTCCGGAGGTGGGGGAAGGCAGAATGGGTCATGGATGCTCTCAATCTAGACCTCTCCACATTTCTGTTTCTGGGCACTGTAATGTTTATCATTACAGCAGTTTTGCAGAAGGCAATTTTCACTGCTGCTTGCAGAGAAAGCTTAATTAAATACCTCTGCTGTACTACTTTCTCTAATCCTCCCCCACCCATACTTAATAATATTAATCGTATGATGTAGCCCTTTATCTCGTTGAGACATCTCAAAGCACTTTACAGAATATTCTGTAAAGTGGAGTGTCTGTATTTCGTGGTTGAAGCACAGCAGTCAATTGCACACAGCAGTGTCCCAAACAGTTGTGAATCAAGTGACCAAATTAATATATTTTTTAAGGGACTATTACTCCCAGAAAGCAACCAGGTTTCTACTTCCTGCTAGGTAAACAGAGATGTGTGGAGTAAGGAAACTTGCCTAAGGTTTCTCCCTGCCCGGGAATCAAAATCAAGTCTTCTCACTGTCCAATTAACTGGTGCCTGAAATGTGTTGGGGCAGGTTTTATTTTACTTAAAAAAATCCGAACTTTTCATATCCATTACGTGAAAGATTTTTAATGTTTCTTTAATATATCAGTCTTGGCAGCAATCGCAATAGGTGAACTATTATTGCATTTAACGTGGTGGCTGCCGCTTTAAAGTAAAAGGGAGGCAGGCGGGTGGGGAATCAGTGCAAAGAACTCCTTTGCAGTGCCGTTTGAATGTACAGCATTAAATATTCAGTGTCCAGTTTTAAGTGCCAGACGCAGTCCTTCAAGTGTTCCTATTATCCACCTTCAGAAACATTTCCTATTACAGCATGTTCTGGAACTCCCAGGAGTAAACACAGCTCTGTAACCTTTAGAAGAGCAACACCACCAGCTTCACTCACTCATCTTCTTCATCATGGCTTTTCTACTAAGTTCGTAGGCCAAGAATAAAGCACCATTGGCAGGAAACGCTCGTAACATTGTTGGTGTTAATCCAGAATATATTGCTCGGATTCCTAAAAAAAAAAGCACAAAAAGTCAAATTATAAAGCTGCTGCATAACATACAAATAATTAGGAGTCCCAGAACCTTGTGGTTGGAGCACTCGCCTCACCAGTGATAGGACCCAGGTTTAATTCCCGGGTGGGGTGAAGTTTCAAGGACCTGGGTTCGATTCCTGGTTTGGGCAAAATCTTAGGCAAGTTTTCTTACCTCACAAGCCTCGGTTTACCCAGCAGTAAGTAGGAACACAGTTGTTAGGTCAATTGGCGGATCGCTTTCTGGCGGTAGTAATCCCTCCAAAATAATAATTTGGTCACTCAACGCATGACTGTTCATGGGACACTGCTGTGCGCAATTGGCTGCCATGTTTTGCATAAAAAATAAACAGTCTATTTACAGTATATTCTGTGAAGACCTCTGAGAGGTCTCAGCGATATAAGGCACTATATCAAATGCAAGGATTATTATTGTGATTATTTGGACAGAGATCTTTGGGGGTTATTATCAAAGGCACTTTCCGACTAGGTGCCTGATCTGTGAATCATGCCCCCACAGAAGGAAGGACAGTCTTGAGGGAGGAGAGAATTAAGTGCTGGATGGAGGAATTCATTCCAGTAATCGGAAAAGATGCTTTTTGTTGGAGTAGATGGGAAGAAACAAGAGCTTACTTGCTCTGAGCAACTACCAACCAGTTAAGTTACAACTCCTTACTCTCAGAACAAGCCTACTAGTTTCGCACTCTGGGTTTTGGCACCAGGGATACAGGTTTTTCAACCGTTCAAGCGCACGTCCTTGGGAGGAATCCATGATAAACTCACTGGCTTCCAGCTCAGGACAATTATTATTGTACTCCAAGTTGCAGAGCGATTCAAAGCAATTTGAACATTACTTTGACATGAGTTTGGCACAGAGAGAAAGAGGGGGAAAAAAAAAATCACAAAAACTGTTTTAACATTGAATTACTTTAAAGCTTTAAATTCCTGACATTTTATCCAAAGAACGTAGTCTTAAAGTTTTACGAATATGCAGAATTTGTGAAATGAATTAAGTTTGGAAATGATTGGAGTCTTAATTTGGAGACCAATTCCATCTTTAAATTGTAATTAATAATAATCTTTGTATTTGATATAGCACCTGGTCATCCAAATATCTCGAAGGGCTTCACTGGATTAAATGTAAAGTGTAGCAACCGTTCTTGTAGGTGAATGTGTCAGCCAATTAATGCAAGATACCATCCCCACAGACAGCCATGCAGTGCATGGCCAATTTTATCTGGAGCATAGCTGGCAAGGACAGTGGGCAGCAACAACAACTTTCATTTACACAGCAGCCTTCTCGCAGGATAGTGTCTCGGAGCACTGCACAGTTGCAGGGTCGGAGGAGGAAGTGACCATAAGCACAGTCAAAGAAGTAGTTTTTAAGGTGGGATTTAAAGATACAAAAAGAAGAGGCTAAATGGAGGTATTAAGGCTGGGAGTTTTAGAGGCTTTGTAACTGAAGGCACGACCATTGATGGTGGTACAGAAGGGGTCAGAGGGATGTGCAACAGGCCTGTGTTAGCTGAGCAAAGGGGGCGGCCAGAGCAAGTCAAGAATACATAGTCTTAAATGAAGACAATTGAAGAATATTCCACAATTCTGCCCCATCTTAACAAGACAGCTTCAACACAGCAACATGCATCATTTGGGCAACTCAAAAGGATTTTTACAACAACAACTTGCATTTATATAGCGCCCTTCAAGCGAGGTAACGTCCCGGAGTGTTTACAGACACTTGTTTCAATCTGGAACCTGATGCAACGGAGAATGCAATTGGGAATCTCAGGTTTGTGAGCTAAGGAAAGTTGTGCAAGAAACAGTTCCATCATTTCGCCCACAAAATATACAGTCAATTCACTTTACAGTATATTCTGTGAAGGCTGAGATGTCTCAATGACATAATAAGGTGCTATATCAAATGTGTTGTTGTTATTCCCCATATCTCCAAAATCAGTATGTAGACAATGCGGGAGAGTAAAGAAATAGATTACAATGTATACAAATCAAATCCAAGCTTAGGGGAAGTTATTTGTCTCTAAAGTTTGTCCTCACCTTCATTCTTAAGTATATGTCGGAAAGTATTAAAGAAACCAGCATTTTCGCCTGCCATCGAGAGGACCTGGATGCGAGACTTCACACAGTCGATTGGATATACAGCAATCCACAAGCAAGCTCCTCCAAAACCACCGCTCAACATCAGGGGTAAAGGGCCTTTACAAACACAGTGAGCAAATATAGTTTGTTATACAGAAGCAAACAAGTCAATCTTTGGTCTCTTCATATTCCAAATATTTTAACATTTTTAATCAGCGAGTCTTTTTAATGATAAATAATCCTTGCATTTGGTATAGCGCCTTTCACGTCACAAGGATGTCTCAAAGGACTTCACAGGATTTACTGTGCAGTGTAATGACTATTTATTATAATTTAATAATAACTATTTGATATACACTTTTCACTTCTTCTAGACGTCTCAAAGAGCTTCACAGAATATACTATAAAGTGAATTGACTGTATATTTGTGGGCGAAACATGGCAGCCAATTGCGCTCAGCAGTGTCCCACAAATCGTGTGGAGGGATTATTATCCCCAGAAAGTGATCCGCCAATCGACTAACAACCAGGTTCCTACTTATTGCTAGGTAAGCAGAGACGTGTGGAGTAAGGAAACTTGCCCAACATTCTGCCTTGCCAGGAATAGAACCCACTCGCTTGTGAGGCGAGTGCTCTAACCACTGAGTTTCAGGACTCCACAGCATATTTGCCAATATTCTGTTGGCGAATGCAGCAACCAAAATGCCCTGCGCACAGCAATGTCCCACAAACAGCCATGGGATGAGTGACCAATTTTTATTTGGGGGACTTTGGCCAGGACACTGGGAGAAACTCCCTATTGTTTTCAAACAGTGCCATGGGATGTTTAACGTCCAGCTGGTGGGACCTCAGTTGAAGGTCTCATCTGAAGGACGGCACCTACAACAACGCATTATACTCCCAGCATTGCATTCGAGTTCCAATATAGGGCTTGAACCCACAAGCTTCTGACTCAGAGACAAGAGTGCCACCAACTGAGCCAGGTTGACACTTCTCCATAATAGGAGCAAAATCATCATCCTCTTAGTGAAGCTAAATATGAACATTCAAGCATGTACAATACATGCCAGGTTCACTGTAACAAAAAATCTGGAATCTTGTGTCTACTTGTCTTTCCAGTTTTCAAAATAGCATACACCCAAGGTAAACTTGTTCTAACACATATTTGTGATCCATAAGATCCCAACTTGCATTTTAGTGAGGCTGGTTTTACTGCGCTTCCTAATCATCCGATGGTTCCCGCATGGTGAAAAAAANGTCTGACTTTCGGTTCATGGGGCCATCACCACTGTTACTCGTTTTCTGTACATGCACAAAGCAGGAAGTGACATTAGAGGTAACCTAATATTCCAGAAGTTGGTGGTTGGGAAGTGAGTGGGCTAGCTGTACCCCTGGGCAGTGATTGAGATTCACGGTGCAAGTGCAAATTAAGTGAGTCTGCGTCATAATGATGTTCCACACCCTGTACTGTAACTTGTGCATCTGGTGGATTACAGAGGGCCAGGGCAACAATAGTCTGATTCCCCATATACTGATCATTGGCTGACCTAGCAGAGGCGACTGACCAACTAAAGAAGGTATTTATTTCCTTAAAGGGAGAGGCAAGGTTTCAGGTGAGTCACCCCTGGATGCTCGTGTTAGCACCAGGGTACAGAGTGCCAAAGGCCTCAGGACAAATTCTCCATCAATCTCATTGGTTTCAAGGGGCAGTGGATGTTTGGAGAGCCTAAAAAAATCATTGAAATAAGAATTACTGATGCTGCATCAAAATTCTTGAAGTCTGTACAATAATGCAAACAATAGCCATTCATTAGGTGTTAGAACCACATGCCATGGTTTTAAGTTTTTGACTATATAAATACTTCCGTTTAGTTTAGTGCCTTTCACTTCGAGAGCAGGCCCTAAAGCACTTCACAGGATATATTGCAAAGAGCAGTGACTTGTTTTTGTAGACAAACATGCCAACCAATTTGCGCACAGCAATGTCCCACAAACTGCCATGAAATGAATGATCAATTTTCCCAGCATTCTGGTCAACAATGGCCCCTCACCATCACCAAATAAAATCAGTCATTCATTTCTTGGCTTTTTGTGGGACAATGTGCAAATTGGTTGCTGCGTTCACCTACAAAAATCACTACACTTTACAGTATATCCTGTGAAGCGCTTTGAGACATCCTTCTGACAAAAAGGAGCTAAATCAAATGCAACATTATTATATTATTATAATAGTGACTTACCGAGATCATCTTTGGACTTGTTCCCAGAAGTAAAGAGGGTGCGACCAAATTCATAGCCACCGAAGAAGAAAAAATATCCAGGCATTTCCCTCAACAAAGTGCTGGATAATCCTCTATACATGCCAAGTGGACCATCTGTTCGTAAAATGTCTTTGATCACCGCCCAAGCTGTACTGTAAACACAAAGGAGATCAATTGAAAACCAACATAATCGAGTTGCCCTTTTCCCCATTAATTGCAGCCTGACTTAACTGTCTCCTTTTCAGAAACCAACTGTTCAGGCTGTGTTATGGCCCAAGCGGCCCTTGATTATAACCTGAGCCTAGACAAGAAGTCTATTGGACTCCAAAACGATTCCTAAAAGTAATTTACATTTATACAATATATTGTTTGGGACATGACATGTACATGCGACTGCCAGAATAGTGGAAGACAAATTGGATGGACCTTGATCTTTTTTCCTCTTCAAATGCTGTGATGGACTTAGCTTCAACAGAACAACAACCACCACCTTTCACGTCAGGAAGACATCCCAAGGAGCTGGACAGTCAGGGATACGCACCCAAGCTGGTGGTTGGGATCAGGCAGGATGGAGGGCAGGGAGGATAAGGGTAGAAGGGTGACCAAAGGAACGGTCGAAGAAGAGTCTTGAAACAGGTCTTGAAGGAAGCAAGGGAGGGGGCGAAACAGAGGGACTGTGGGATGGAGTTCCAGAAGGTGCGGGCAGAGAGGTTGAAGGCCCGCCCGCCAATGATGGGACAGGCAAGGCGGGAACATGAAGCAGGCCGGAGCCCACTGAGTGGAGGGAGTGGACAGGTTGGTAGATAGAAGGTCACTCCTGTAGTGAGGAGCAAGGCCATGGAGGGCTTTAAGGTGAGGACCAGGATCCAGGCGAGGATGGGGGTGATAGGGTCGCAGAGCCTGGTGCAGGAGAAGACACAAGCTGCAGAGTTCTGGATGATCTGCAGCCTATGGAGGCAGGAGTTGGAGAGGACATCAAGCAGGAAGTTTGCGTAATCGAGCCTGGATGTGATGAGAGTCTCGGCGGCCTGCGGTGAGAGACAGTGGCAGAGCCGGGCAACGTTGCAGAGGTGGAACTTGTGATTGCTAAGGAATTCCGCTTCAACATAAAAAGATATCTCTTCTAACTTTCCCTCATTTTTCTTCTCCGTTCAACAAATGCTTTGCGTAAAACAAAAAAGTACACGTACCTAGGATGCCCTGGCTTTAGCTTTCCAGATGTGGTCATTTCATGCATTGCTTGGAGACGACACTTCACAAGTTCTGTTGGGCAAATGGCTAATGAAGCAAACACTGATGCAAACGACCCTGAAGCTGCTTTCTGTATATCACTGAAACAGACACACAGATAGTTTGTTACAAGGCTTCGGCAACTGGAAAAAATTCACCCACAAAATGTACAGTCAATTCACTTTACAGTATACTCTGTGAAGCTCTTTCAGATATCTCGAAGACGTGATCAGGCGCTATATCAAATGCAAGTGTTATTATACTTATGAGAGATTTTTTTGGAATGAGAACTTCTCGCCAACCACATGCACTCGTAGAATCATAGACACAAAATATACAGTCACTATACTTTACAGTATAAGACGTCTCAAAGACATCATAATGCACAATATCAAACGCAAGGATTATTATCCTACAAACAGAAGGAGGCCATTCAGCCATTCAGGACCTTGGTTTAACATCTCATCTGAAGGACAGCATCTCTGACAAAGGAACACATTCCCAGCGCTCTACTGGAGCGTCAATTTTGACAATGAGTTCAAGTCCTGACGTGGGGCTTGAACCCACAACTTCTGCCCCAGAGGCAAGAGTGCTACTAACTGAGTCAAGCTGATAGGACACTGTCAGATACAAAAACAACATTTATGTCGTGCTCGTCACACGGGGCAGCATTTTGGATCGTTTGACAGTGGCAGAGATATTTGATATTCTGCGTGGAAATCTTTATATCTGGGTTAGCTTATTTGATCGAACCCAAAATTGGAAGCAAGAAAGATTTTATGAAAGTCAACAAACAAACATGAGTATTTCACTCACCTGAGCTCACTTTGGTTGTCCATTCCAGAAAGCTTTCTCACAATTCTCTGGCAAAAACCATAAGACAGGAACAGCACAGCATTTTCTGATATGTGGGCCATCAGGGCAGGCGTAGTCCCTCGGTAGAAACCCCCAACGCCAGATTCCTTGTACGTCTTTAGAACACAGTCCACTACATTTTTGTATAAATTAGGGAATGTCTGCATCTTCACTTTCACAGTGTCAAAGGGTTGCCCGGTGTAAACACAAGCCGTGCCTCCTGCGAATTACAGAGAGAGACGAACACAAGGATAAGAACAAGACTCACACTACCAACTCCAAGATAGAAGAGTCAGAGAGGGGGATAGAAACAAGAAGAAACTGCATTTAAATAGCATCCTTCTCACAGAATAGTGTCTCACTGGGAGCAGTGATTCTTCCCACACAGTTTGTTAACCCTGCAACTAAAGTGCTAACAAATAGGTCCGAGGCAGACAAGCAGCAGCAGGAAGCTTGATAGGCAGAACTCTCAATGACAAGCTATACAGTTTTAGCTGGTTGAACTCCAGCAGTTTCCCCAATGCATACTCTGGGATCCCAAAGCTTTGGCTCTTGCCAATGTGAGCCTAATACTCTTCGGAACCAGATAAGCAGGATGTGTCCCTCTAAGCATTCCATTCCAGACACAGGGGAAATTTCCATGCGTAGGTACAAATGTACAGTCAATTCACTGCAGAGTATATACTGTGAAGCGCTTTGAGATGTCTAGAAGACGTGAAAAGAGCTATATCAAAACCAAGGATCATTATTATTATTATATTAATTATTATACATTAGTGGAGCTCTCAGCCTAGTTTGGAGACTTTTAAGCATTCATCAACCTGCCCTGCATGAAAATTTAAGAGAAAGAATATACAATTACCTGCTGCCCCCGCAGTGAGATCGATGACGGCTTGCACAGCTGGTTTCGGGCAGTTTTCTAAGGACATCTTGATGGTCTATAATAATCAGATTATTTCCACAATCCACAACTCCAATTTTGGAGCAATACCATGGAAAACAAAAATGAATATTATTACAGTTTAAGACACTGCTCATTTAAAACCCGATCACTATCCCTAAGAAAATCGCCTACAAAATAGTCACTACACTATAGCAAACCACTTACAGCCTTTGAGATGTCTCGACGACATGATAAGGTGGTATAATTATATATACGTCCCTAATTCATCCAAGGAGGAAGAGGTGTTAACAGTCTACAAGTTCCCAATGAATATTTTAACATGTTGGCTCCTGAAAAGCTAATATGAATTTAGGAGAGTTGGTCTGGAGCACAGCCTCAAATCAAACCCACACTCAACTCTCAACAGGTTCCTAATGCTGGTGGAAGTTGGATTACCCAACATTTCTATCACAGAGTTTACAGCAAATTTATATTTCCTCTAGCCAGTAGCATTGGAGTCCTATAGTGTAGTGGTTAGCGCGCTCATCTTGTAAGCGTGAAGACCAAGGTTCGATTCCACAGCAGGGTGAAACCTTAGCCAAGTTTCCTTAATCCACAAGGCTGTTTATCTAGTAGCGAGTAGGAAGGTGGTTGTTAGTTAATTGGCGGATAGCTTTCTGGGGGTAATAATCCCTAAAAAAATCTGTTGTGTTTCTCCCACAAAATGCATAGTCAATCCACTTTGCACTATATTCTGTGAAGCGCTTTGAGATGTCTGAACAATGTGATAAGGTGCTATATCAAATGCAAGGATTATTATTACTATTATTCTTCTTTCAAAAAAACTGCAATTTCTACTACAGCAAACATACAGTCATAGCTGTGATTGGTGTCTAAACAGATCACTCCCTTTGACGGCAATGCTAATAAGAAGACGCACTGCCCTTGGCCTATGTCACATTACAGTGAACACTGCCCAAAGAATAACAGCGTTATTTAAACACAAAGATACAAAGGTTAGATTACCACTGAATTATCCAAGAATAAGCAGATCATTCTTAATATACTTAAACATTCGTCTTCAAGAGAAGGCTGAAAGATCTTTGGAGGAAAGAAACTCAAAAGATAGCCACATGGAATTCATTCTTTTGTTTTAAGAAATAATGTATTTAGAATAGAAACTAAAGGAACTTTGGCCGTTTTGTGCAACTAAGTTCATAAGATAATGATTTGCAAAAGCAGATAACGTACCAGGAATCAATGTTACATAATCAGCTTCTGTGCTCTGAGTGGGGGCAATTTATCCACTACAGGCAAAAGGTTGGGAGAATGGAATGAGCAGTGTTTGACTTCTACAGTCATCCGTCTTTCTTCCAAATTTCAATATCTGCCCATGTCCGCAAGACCATGTGTGGCTTCCTGCAATCTTCTTTAGTACCAACACCCCCACCCACCCAGATTTGTAGCATTTCGAAATTTTAACACCAAACTTCCTGCAGTGATTCGCCAGATAAAATCAGTCATTCACTCATGGCTGTGTGTGGAGCACTGCAGTGCCCAACTTGGCTGCCGCAGTTGTCAACATTTAACTCCAAAATACAGTCTCTGCACTTTACCTGAAATCTTCTGAAGCACTTTGAAACTGTACCCCACAAACAGCCACGGAGTGAGTGGCCAATTTTATTTGGAGGATTGTTGGTCAAGACTCTGGGAGGTCGATGTTAAAAATGCCATGGCACTACTCAAAAAGAGAAGGGCATTTCTCCCATTGTCCTGGTGAACAATCTCCTAAAATAAAACCTGTGCAATTGGGCACTCCACTTCACAGTACATCGTGTGAAACACGTTGAGATGTACTCCTGACATGAAAGGTTATACCGAATGCAAGGATTATTATATTATTATCAACTCTATACTGACTCAGTCCCATTGAAGTATTTTGAGATGTGTAACTATGTAAACAAACACTATACAAGGACAAATTGTTGTCCTTTTCCTCCTGTTCTTCTGAGAGTACATTTTCCAGGATCAATGTACATTTCTGAAGTTCATCACAGTTGTGTTCCAATGGTTTCGCCGAACTTAGGTGATCAGAGGAAATAGGGAGAAGAGAGAAGAGTGAGAGAAACGCCAAGAAGAAAAATCTCCACAGAGAATGTCTGTCTGGCTCTCTTTACTCAAAGAGTCATGGAATTATAGAATTCACTTCTGCAAAAGATAGTCAATGTTTAAGAGAAGTGGTTAAATACTTGGGCTAGTAAGGGTATCAGTGGGCATGGAGAAAAAGTCCTGAGTTACAGATCAAAAATAATCTAAGAAAATGACAGATCATCCTCAATGAGACGAACTGTCTACTCCTGTAACTACATTCCCAAATCCAACAGAAAAAGAAATGTCATTTTGTGGATTGTCATTTGTGGATATTCCCATAATTTCAAAACCTCCCAAGCCAACTATAATAATAATAATCCTTGCAATTGATTTAGTGCCATATCACGTATTCGAGACGACTCAAAGCGCATCACAGAATATACAGTAAGTTAATTGACTGTATATTTTGTGGCCAATTGCCTGCAACACGCAGTCGCGGATTGAGTGACCAAATAATTTTTTTTAAAGGATTATTACCCCCAGAAAAGTGATCCGCCAATCAACTAACAACTGTGTTTCTACTTACTGGTAGGTAAACAGAGGCGTGTGGAGTAAGGAAACTTGCCCAACGTTTCTCCCTGCCCAGGAATCAAACCAGGTCCTCTCGGATGCGAGGCAAGTGCTCTAACCACTAAGCTACAGGCCTCCACGTAGTATGTGTGCAAAGCCTACTAATGAAGATGGGTTCACTGTCTGAATTTGTGCACCACAGTCCAATTCTGTGAAGGCAGTGAGAGACAGCAAACTAGGTAACAAGACCTCAGGTGTGCGAACAGGCTTAATGGGCAGGATGTCCTTCTCCCCTTCCTACGATAAAGGAAGAAAACACGGTAGTTTGCCAGCATCCTCAAACACCTTTCTTCTCATTGCTCACCGGCTGGACTGACATCTGTATGGGCAGGACACACATGGCCTAACGGAGTTTGGGTTGTCTACAATTTAGCAATTAACGTCTTTGGATTTAACGTAGCAAATGTCTCATCTCTGTCATACTTTCTGCGTTCCACCCACATGCAAAGCAGAAGCAATATTGACGGTATCTTGAGAATCGGGCACAGGAAGTGATGTTGGTGGCAATTTAATGACCGAGAACTGTGCCATCTCAGGCCTACGGCTGGCCATCGCAACTAGAATAATAATAATAATAATCCTTGCATTTGATATAGCGCTTTTCACGTTGGGAGGACGTCCCAAAGCGCTTCACAGAACACACTGTAAAGTGAATTGACTGTATATTTGTGGGCGAACGCGGCAGCCAATTGCGCACAGCAATGTCCCACAAACAGTCGTAGATTGAAAATGACCAATTTATTATTGTTTTTGGTTTTGGAGGGATTATTATTAGGCTCTGTGTGGAGTAAGGAAACTTGCCCAAGGTTTCGCCCTCTGCCTGGAATTGAACTCAGGTCTCTCGCTTGCAAAGCGAGTGCTCTAACCACTGAGCTACAGGACTCCACTCCTGGAAGTCAGCGGGCTGGCTGCACACAAGCACAGTGAATGATGTCTAGAGTGCAACTGTGTTGTAATTGCTTTTCTTCCATTTAACTATTTCTTCCTCATCTAATTAACTCTCGTTCATCTGTTAGTGTCAAACGTGCAAAGCAGAAGCAACACTGACGGTGACTTGAAAATCGGGCAATTTTAGCATTAGAAAGCTAAAATGGCTAACTTGTGGAATCAGATTCTGCCCACTCAGCTCCTGTTAACCCTGCAGTCAAAGGCCTAATAGGTCGGATCATCCGAGCTAAACAAGCAGCAAGAAGCTTACCAATAGTGGGAAGGCATAGAGGCCCCGATATCTTCCCACCAGGAGGGAAACACTAGGAACAAATGACTTAATTGCAGAGATTTTGGCGTTTAGCCCCTCCCGCTAAATATAATAATAATCCTTGCATTTGATATAGCGCTTTTCACGTCGGGAGGACGTCCCAAAGCGCTTCACAGAACACACTGTAAAGTGAATTGACTGTATATTTGTGGGAGAACGCGGCAGCCAATTGCGCACAGCAATGTCCCACAAACAGTCGTAGATTGAAAATGACCAATTTAATATTGTTTTTGGTTTTGGAGGGATTATTATTAGGGATGTGGAGTAAGGAAACTTGCCCAAGGTTTTGCCCTCTGCCTGGAATTGAACTTAGGTCTCTCGCTTGCAAAGCGAGTGCTCTAACCACTGAGCTACAGGACTTACCTGTTGTTTACAACAAAGAAGATGTTGAACCAGAAGTAGAAAGGACAGTCATTATAACCTTTGATATAGCATCTTATCACTATTAACCACTGAGCTACAGGACTCCACAAATATGTATGGGTTGGGGGCAAAAAGGGAGCAAAACAAACCCCTTAAAGAGCAAGTCTGACCCTGGAGAATTACGAAGCAAATGTTTGCAGTATAAAAAGCAAACTTGCCTCAATGATTAACCTGGCAGACTTTAACCTTGGTTTTCAAAGTAAGAGATTTCTGCTTTAGAAGTATTACATCCTTCCTTCCTCTTCTCCCCCCCCCACCTCAAAGTTCCCAATCAGATGAAACAATCCCAATCTAAAAACTTTCTTTGCTAACCCTCACTAACAACGCACCTTAAAATGACTAACTTCCAAATCACAAAGCTCCTTTATATCATTTATAATAATCCTTGCATTTGATAGAGCGCTTTTCGCATCTTCTAGACATCTCGAAGCGCTTCACAGAATACGCTGTAAAGTAAATTGACCGTATATTTGTGGGCGAAACGCGGCAGCCAATTTTCACCCACAAAAATACAGTCAATCCACTTTACAGTATATCCTGTGAAGGCGATTTGGGAGGACTCAACGACGTGATGAGGCACTGTATCAAATGCAAGGATTATTATCATCACTATCATCTGTGCAGCCAATTTAAACGCTGTAAACGAAAGCTGTTTACCCTTGTGTTTTCTTGCCGGACGAGAAGCGATGAAAAAGCAATGAGGATCCCTTTGCAAATTGACTGATGCAATTTCGGCACAGGTTGTGTCTGACGCGTGCACTCACTCAGTCAGCTGTGATCATCAGCTGATACAGTAACAGACAGACAACTGCTGACTCCAGGGTTCCAGCACCTTACACCAGGACCAGGACACTCTCTCCTCCTTCGCTCTACTACAGTGTTAGCCTCTGCTGTCTGCATCCAGCCACAATACAGACCTGTCAAAGCTCCCGCCTCCTCTGACTTCCGCCTCTTGCATCACCGTTACTTGCTCACCCATTCAGTGATTGTAAAGGCAGCCCAGCATTTGGTGCTTGTCATGGAAGCCACCCCCCCTGATGCTTCTGCTCACCCTCCTTCACCGGGTCCTGCTGCCAGCCCTCTACTGGAGGTTAAATTTCAACCACAGCAGCAACCGCAAAATAATAATAATAATCCTCGTCTTTGATACAGCGCCTTATCAAGTATATATTGTAAAGTGGATTGACTGTGTGCATTTGTGGGCAAAACATGCTACTATTAATGATAATCCTTGCATTTGATTATAGCGCTTTTCACGTCTTCCGAGACGTTTCAAAGGGCTTCACACGTTATGCTGTAAAGTTCAAGTTTTCGTCGTTGTTGTTAAAGTGAATTGACTGTATATATTTTGTGGGCTAAATCGGCAGCCAAGTGCGCACAGCAGTGTCCCACAAACAATCGTGGATTGAAGTGACCAATTTTATTATTGTTTTTTTCTTGAGGGATTATTATTAGGCGTGTGGAGTAAGGAAACTTGCCCAAGGTTTTGCCCTGCCGGGAATCTATTCTCTGACTCTATGCAATTATGTGCAAGGAAATTATATAACAGCTGATTTGATAGAGCACCTTATCATGTCTCAAAACACTTTACAGGATTTACTAATCTAGGCAAACGCAGAAGTTAATTTGCACAAGGCACAGCTATGAAGTAAATGAGCAATTTTATCAGGAAGTCAGGACACCAGGAAAAACTCACTTCTCGTTTCAAATAGTGTCACAAGATCTTTAACATCCACCTGAACAGGCAGGTGGGACCTCGGTTTAACTCATTCCAATAGACAAATTACAAGAACAATGCAGTGAGTAATTTGTGTGTCGTTTGCAAGGCTACACTTTGCTCTAACAAGAAAAAAAAATGTCAATTTGTTGTTTTTAAATGTAGTTTAAAATCAATTAATTTCAAATTTAACACAAACTATGACATTTATCTGTTATTGGTTACCAACAGGGTTGGGGGAGAGAATGTCCCAATTGTGGATTGTTACACTCCTTACCGTCTGCCTCCAAACACACAGTCACTTAATTTCAAAGTAAGTTCTACGAAGCACTTTGGGACATCCTTCCGACACAATAAGGCACTGAATCAAGCAGTATATTTTGGCCTCAAAACACAGTGACTTTCCAGTATACCCTAAGAATTGCTTTGAGAGGTCTCGATAGTGTGATAAATTGCTCTATCAAATACAAGGATTATTATTATACCAAACACCAAGGATTATTATTAATATTATTCTCATTATTTATCAGGTTCAAGCATAAATTGCAAAGGGAATCTCCAGAATAGGTGGGGAGTTAACCTACAAACAAATCCATTGTGTTTCTCGAAAGCATATAGGTTCCTTTCCTTATGATGTAAAGACTTTCTTGAGTAGCTGACAATTAGGAGCATTTATGGAGAGAAAAGCATTAGCGCTAAGCATCTCAGGTTGTGCTGTGGCTCAAGTTTCTGCAGCTGACACTGTAAGGTTTGGTTTATTTATAGATAATTTATAGTCAATGAACCTCATATTGATGTCTGCAAGCAGGAGTGAATGCAGGGAGTTCATCTTGTCAGAGCAAAACCCTCCCTGTCCCACTTCAAAATGAACAGGGAACCTTTAACAGAAAAGCCCTGAATCTCCATTGAAACCAATGCTGTATGGAGTTTGGCTTAAGGTGACCTGGTTAATGCAGCATCTCTCTCACACACACACATGGATTAAGAAGAAGAGAGGTCTAGGAGAGGAAAAGGAGCAATGCACTTACAGTTATTCTCCTTTCAGCTGCTTCAGAGCTCTGCCTCCAGATTGCTTTTCCTGTAGTTAAGAGCTGAAAAAGAAGGAATGGCTTCCCAGATCATTTTGTGCTTCCCCTGGGTGCTGAGAAGGAGGGTCCAGGCTTTGTAAACCTATCACATAACTCAGCTAACCCAGCATCACTGCCTATTTCACCCTTTTGGAGATTGAGAAACTCTCTTGTTTACAGGTTGCAACCCAAATTAAACTCCACCATGAGATCACCTCTCTTACACACAAGTACTGAGAGAACTTATACAAGGGCAGAATTGTTACAGCACCAAAATAGTTTTCTTTTAAAAAACCTCTGTTTACCTAGCAGTAAGTAGGAACCCGGTTATTAGTCGATTGGCAGATGGCTTTCCGGGGATAATAATCCCCCCACGACTGTTTATGGGACTCTGCTGTGCGCAATTGGCTGCCATGTTTCGCCCATAAAATATACAATTAATTTTACAGTATATTCTTTGCAATGTCTCAACAGCATGATATGGCGCTATGTCAAATGCAAGAATTATAATTATTATTCATTGCGTGTGCCTGTTCTCTGAAGGAGCTGTGTGTCCCTTTAATCTTATACCCTTTCCCCGCTCCCACCCCACCACCCACCCATATTTAATATTTTTCTTTAAATATTTGCCTTATTCCCTTTTGAAATCTGTTATGCTTCCTGCTTCAACCACTGATTTTTGGTATAAGGAATTCTATAATCAATACCAAGAATTTTGCTTACAAAATACACAGTCAAACCACTTTACAGTATATACTGTGAAGCGTTTTCGGGCGTCTCAACAACGTGATAAAGCTCTGTATCAATTGCAAAGATTATTATTATTACTATTTCATTCAATGTCCTTAAACCCCTTTTGTGTGTTAAAAAAAACTCCTTGTTTTTTGTGATAAAGTTTGTAAATTTATATTTACTAGTTACCAATTCACCAAGTGGTTATGCCTTCCTGACCACTGTTTTTTTTAAAAAAACTATTTATTTTCATAAAGTATCTTTGTTTCAATGTCCAGAAACTCTGAAGAATTACATTTGCTGTTACAATTCAAGAGGCAAATTTGTTATCATAATACTAGCTCTTGCATTTATCATGTCATTGAAATGTCTCAAAGCACTTAACAAGAAAAACTGTAGAGTGATGTGTGTTGCAGTGTATATTTCAGAACCTTGGTGTCTTGTTCGACCCTCAACTGTCTTTTCTCCCCCACATTCAAGCCGTGACCTGCTCTGCCTTCCCTCACTTCCGTAACATCACCCGACTGCCACTACCCTCACCCTTCAGGCCACTGAAACTTGTTCATGCCTTCATCATCTCCAGGCTCGACTATGCAAACGCTTTGCTTCTCGGCTTTCCCAACTTCTCCCTCCACAGCTGCAGATAATCCAGAACTCTGCAGCCAGTGTCCTCTCCCGCACCAAACTCCATGACCCCTTCTCCCCCACTCTTGCCCAACTTCACTAACTCCCCATCCTTCAGAGGATCCAGTTCAAGATCCTGGTCCTCAACATACAAAGCCCTCCATGGCCTCACCCCACCCTTCCTCTGCGACCTCCTAACCTCCTACCAACCCGCCCGTTCCCTCCGCTCAGCCGGCTCTGGCCTGCTCCGCGTCCCCCGACCCACCCGCCCCACCATTGGCAGAGAGCCTTCAGCCACTCTGCCCCCAGTCTCTGGAATTCCATCCCCCAATCACTTCGCCTCACCCCCTCCTTAGCCTCCTTCAAGTCCCGCCTCAAGACCCTCCTCTTCGACCATGCCATCGGCCACCCACCTTCCCCTCCCCTCCCTTACCCCCCCCAACCCCAGCTCGGGTCTGAAATGCTGTTCTCTGTCCAGCGCCTTGGGACGTCCTCCCGACGTGGAAGACACTATACAAATATAATCTTGTTGTTGTTGTATTCTGTGGGTGAATGTGGTAACCAATTTGCAAACAGCAATGTCCCATAAACACCATGAAGTGATTGACCAATTTTATTTGGGGGATTGTTAGCCAGGACACCGGAAGAAACTCCTGTCTCTTTTCAAATAGTGTCATGGGATCTTTAACGTCCACCTGAACTTGGTTTATCATTTCACTGAAGGATGGCACCTCTGACAAAGCAGTAAAGCTGCACAATATTCTCAGCTGGCTCCGGCTTCCTGCACATCTTTTGTCCCCTCCGTGCTTTCAGCCACGACGCCCCAAAACTAGAGAACTCTCTTCTTCTTCTCTGCCTTCATGTCATACTTGAAGACCTTCCTCTTTGACTTATGTGCCTACGATTTACCTCCCTCAGGCTCTGCGTCACAGTTAAGCGATCATGAAGTACTGTGTGAAGGGTGCCATGTAAATGCAAGTTGTTGTTGTTGATGTGTCATGATAGATTATATGGGTTTTGAGTCCCGACATGGGGCTTGAACTCACAACCTTTTGATTCAAGAGGTGAGAGTACTACCAACTGAGCCAGGCTGACCTGGATCAGGAGGGGTGGAGTGCAGGGAGGGTAGGGTTAGGATGGTGGCTGAAGGCGCGGTCGAAGAGGAGGGTCTTGAGACGTGCCTTGACGGAGGTAAGGGAAGGAGTGAGGCGAAGGGATTGTGGGATGGAGTTCCAAAGGATGGGGGCAGAGAGGCTGAAGGTCCGTCCACCGATGGTGAGGTCGGGCCAGGCAGGTCATGTGGAGAGTGGAGCCTGCTGAGCGGAGGGAGTGGACAAGTTGATATGGCATTAGCAGGTCACAGAGACAGGTCACAATAATAATGATAATAATCCTTGCATTTGATATAGCCTCTTTCACATCAGGAGCATGTCTCAAAATGCTTCATAAGATTTACTGTAATCTGGAGTGACTCTAGTAACTCATGCTTGCCTCAGTTTCTCTGTATTACATAATTTTGTTGGATTCGTAGTACATATTATTACTGCTATTACTAATGCAGATAGCCCCTTTGACACTGGAGGGCTTTGTCCCTTAAATTCAGGCTTTGCCCACTACGTAGCTCCTCTTAACCCTGAAACTAAAGCCTTAATTGGTAGGATGGCCTTAGCTGGACAAGCAATGGGAAAGCTTGCCAGAAAGTGTTCTCAATGACGAGCTATGCTGTTTTAGTGTACCCTGTCTCACATTCGCTGCTGTCCCAAGAAGGTTATTTTAATGCACTTTGAAACACAACATAATAACTTACGAAATGCTAGACAAAAAAAAGACCAAGGTCCATCAAGTTCACCTTCCACCATACTGGTGGTCGCTTGCACATATGTCCCGAACTACCTATGTACTATATCCCATAATGTTATTTCCTAAAAACTATCTAATCTGTGT